TTGAATGACACCATAACTACACAATTCATGGCACTTAACCCAGAAACCTTATCCAAGTGTCAAGTGTCAAAATGGAAGCCTTTTGAAACTGTAGATGAGCAATAGAACGTGGCCAGGGACCAAGTTTAGAGCTGAGCAAATGACTGGATTCTGAAGCCTTGACGGGTGTTGGTTTTGGGGTGAGGGGTGATCCCTGTGATCAGCACACCACCCCAATTGTCCTTGAGGGCGAGAGGGTGGAGGAAGCCCTGTCCCTGAGCCAGGGATGGGGGAACAGGGATCCGATGCAAAACCTCCTGGACAAAGAGAGGACCCTTGGGGTTGTTTTGCTTCTTAGAAGGTTTTGGCTGAATTTTGAATTTCGAAGCATCACAAATCAACATGCAGCCAGGCTTACTGAGGTCTCGGACGCTTGTCGAGTGATGCACCGGCCTTGGACCAGGTTCACGTTTGACCTTGAAGGTTATAAGGAAACAAGCAGATTATAAAACTTTTGTGAATGTTTGAAACTGCCTTGTATTTGAGACATCACTAAGAAAGCTAGAATGAGTGGACTATTCCCAAAACAAATCACACTTTTGGAGGAAAGACAAAAGAGGAGAGTGAAAAATGAAATGAAAAGGGAACATAAATGCCTCTTTCTCTTCATGAGCCTGCTCGTGTCTTCACTGTGTTGAGTGATGGCCAGCTGTCTTGCAAAGAGCTCACGGTGTCATCTGAGACCAGCTTGGTACCATCTCAGTGGGGATCTCTTAACACTGCAGGAGAAACAGGCTCAGTGCCTGGACATTTATCCATTTCTTCCTAATTCCCATTTATTTTTTGATTCATTCAACTTTTATGGACAGCTTCTATAAATACATATTCATTAATAGAAACCTACCAACTTTTATTTGTGAATAACAACACATATAATACAGTAAACATCCTGCTTTCGAGATTCAACATTTTCTTTTACTCACATTGCTCGAGAAACAGCATTTTCTCAGCACTAACATGGTGCACATTCTTTCCTTCCTTGTAAATGCTACATGAGTGTTTGGTGGGCTTCCCGGTGTCAAATGATTTACAGAATTGGCCTTGAGAGATGCAGGCCCCGGGAGAGCGCCTTGCAAAGCCTGAAGGATATTTGCTTTTCTGAAGCCTGGTTAATAATCCACCAGCTGACATCCCAGTGGTTACTGTGGCAGCTGTACACTAGGCATTTTATGAGTTTCCAAACAAATATCCTTGATTCAGCAAAGAGAAACTTTGATAAGAAGAAAACATTAATCTTTCATGATTAGCCTAATCTTTTAAATAAACTTGCAGACTAATGCAGCAAGATAATAGAGTGACTTTTTTGTATTTTTCATGTTCTATTGATCGTCAAAGAATACCCAAATATGTCTTACCAGTTATTATGTTCTATGTAGTTAATGAAATTGGGGATGGCTTAAATATACCCAGAGTGCCAAAAGAAATGTATGCAAGTAGACACTTGGGTCAGCATTGCTCACGCAGTAGTTCGCCGTAATCAGGAGTGTCTGGATGCTGATGGTAATCACTTTGAGGACCTCTTGTAATTACAGAAGTCAAACGTAACTTGTATTCACCTTTTGTTATCAGTATATATTATTACAATTTTAATACAGTTTTCGTTTCCTAAAATGTGTGTGCATATCTTGGCACCCTGTGTAGAATACTGTAACTCATGCTAAATTATAAAGGAAACAAGTACAATGACTGACTACTCTGCTAATGAAAATTCACCAGCTGCTGCTAGTCACTCTTGCCTGAGGATCTGGTCCTCTCAGCCTCGGCCACCCAGAATGTAGCCTTGAACCTGGAGATAAGCAGGAATGATTTTGAGTCTGGAACAGCTGTTGTAGAACATAAGTGTTGTAGGTGAGGAAGCCAGAAAGAGTGTAGGAAGTAAGGCAGCAGGCCAGAAGCAAAGATGTGTTTGGGGCAGTTGTGGTGGGGGGGGCCACTCCAACAATTGGGTTCAGGGGGATCTCATACTGTACAGTGAAAAATCCCCCCAAGTCCTTGGAATTACCAGGGTGAGGTATGATATTTTACACTCATTGTTTCTTCAGTTCAGCATATCTCCTTTGCACATTTGCTATAGGTCATGTGTTTAAAATATATTATTAAGTCCTACAAACTCTTGGCAAGTAGCCAGCCTTCTAGTCACAGCCTAGATGACAAAGCGGCACCGAGAGGCTGAGTCAACACTTCAAGGTCACACAGATGATAGTACAGATTTGGATGGTAAGTGCTGGGTGTCTGCCTCACCTGGCCCATCTCATGGGCTAGCACGAGAGTTGCTGAATAACATCTACTCTAGAGAACCAAGGGTTGCTGGTAGGATTCTAAGCAAGGAATTGTTTGCATAGCAGAAAAGATTTTTGGTTTTTTTTAAGCAAAAATGATTTTTTTGTTGTTTAATACTTAAACTACCTTCAATAGTGTGGAAAATCTCTTTGCTTTATGCTATTACACAAGGTTGACCGTACTGCTGATGGATTGTGCCACTCCTGGGTTAGTTTCATCCTTAAGCAAAAACGATGAAACCCAACTGGCTTTAGCTATTATTTAATTCCACTTGGCTGTTCCTTGATAGAACTGCAGACAATGAAGTGTCACATCCTAGTTTAGTTGGTAGAGTTCTAGACAGTGAGAAAGATTCCCAGGCCACTCGTGTGGAGCGGGTGTGAGAGGCTGCCTATTCTGCCGCGATCCAGAGCGTGCATCCCAAGTATTTCACTCCACTCTGAGGTGGCGTTTGGGCCCCGGGGGGTCTGCCCCCTAGGGAGCTGGTGACTTCATTAATAAGTTACCATTTTATCTCTTCTCTACCAGCAGGAACTCTAGGGCCAGGGCTTAATCCCTGAATGTAGGATAAGTCTGGTCTCCCCTTCTTTTACACCTCCCACCCCCTAGCCTTCTGTTCAAGACTTGTGTTGGGTTATCAGAAAAGTCATGACGTAATTTTTTTCTGTTTTTCGTTGCAAATCTGTGTCATGACTTTTCCGACAACCTAATATTTGGCCCTTCCCCGAGATCTAAGAAGAACTTCCCCGTGTCTGCCATTGTACCCTGTACAGCCACTCAGGCTCAGGCAGACGGCCCAGCCTGACACGGAAAGTCACTCAGTGGCAATGATGGGCCCTAAGCCCCATCCCCAGTGAGAACCAGACTGGGGCTCTGAAACCAGAGGCATGTTTGGAACAGGCACCTGGGCACCAGCATCTCAGAGCCCCCAGTAAGTGCCTAGCTCAGTGTACTAAACTGTCAAAATAACTGTATAAACATCAGCACAATTGTCATTCTGCGTGTTCAGTACCGGAGAATTCTACATGTTAACTTGACATTTCTTTAGGAGTAATCCATTGTATTCTGAAAGGAGGGCAATGTTTAATCACACGTGTAAGTATTTTAGCAATTCTTCTGTAATCCCATGATCCAGGAATGCCGTTGATTTTTTTTTAATAAGGGTGCATGCAGTTTTGAAACTTGAGCAGTACAGAAAGATATAAAAATGCAAGTGGAATTCCCCTCTGGGACCCCTCCTACTCAACTTCCTCTCCCTGAGATAACCACCACCCCCAAGTTCTCATGCGGCTTCCCAGGAAAAGTCCCTAAGTGCAGACGCGTGCTTTTTAAAATGAGCACAATTGGGACCACACTGTATACTTTATTCTATACTTTTAAAACATTTAACACCTATTGGAAACCCTACAGTGTAAACCGTAAACTTACAGGTTCTGAACTTATCCTGCTTTTGTTTAAATCCTTACACTGTATGTCCTAGCCAGGTGACTGTGAAAATATTAATCATGCACAAGAGGAGGATAATAATTATGCCACATCATAGAATTGCTGTGATAAATAAGGCATTATATAGAATATATTGGCCACAGTCTCAGGAACTCAAGAAAAAAATGTTTGATTATCATTATCATCAATATATAATTATCTTTTTTAATTGTATATATGCTTCAACTATATATATATATATATATATATATATATATATATATATATATATATATATATATATCTGTACTTTAAAAAAAATTATCCTGAACTAATTGGTGAACATTTAAGTTATTTCTTGTTTTTACTATTCTTTTTTGTTTTGTCTGTGCTTTTGTGCTACTGCAAACCAATGCTGCAACACACACTCGTACATATTTATATATTTAGAGGAATTCTGAAAGCTAAATTCTTAGAATTGAGTTGTACATTTTCAGTGTCGATAGCTATGGGGCCCGCCTGCTGGGCCTGTCCCATTTGTTTTTTACAGAGTGTCACAGGGCCTGTTTGTTCCCATGTTCTTCACAAGTTGTTTTAAAAGTATTTATCATTCTAAAAGGCACAAAGTAGTCTCTCAATTTTATTTTCTTTAAGACGTTTTTAGTGTTTTTATGCTACATTACTTGTTTGTTATACGGTACAGACATTCCTAGTTTTGTTTTGTTTTTTTAATTAAGGTTTATTGGGGTGACAATTGTTAGCAAAGTTACATAGATTTCAGGTGTACAATTCTGTAGCATATCATCCGTATATCACATTGTGTGCTCAGCACCCAGAGGGGCTGGTAGATGAGGGTAAAGGGGATCAAATACATGGCGATGGAAAGGGATCTAGTGTTTTCATAACGTCAGTTCTTTGCTCTTTCCTTAATATTTTGCTTACAAAGATCTCCCTGATTCCCTAAGAAATTATTTTATTCTTCTGGATTAATTTTGTTACATTATACTTTTATAAAAAGTATATACATTATACTCAAGTTTAAAGAGTTTTGCAAATTTCTCTGTTAGGTCTGCAGTTTCATCTTTTTGCTTGGGAACCCCTCCACACACACACACACAGCGGTACTAATACCTAGGCTTGCATGTGTGTGCTTTGTCTGTTATTGGGTTTAAATTAACCGACGTTAGTATATTGTGTTCTCTCTCTCTTGCTGGAGTCAAGTCGTGGAACAGCCCCACGCACTGTTCTGAAACGGTGTGGATAGAAAGAGCACAGAAGCAGGCCTTTCCCACTCGCGAATCTCAGCCAGGTGTGCGACCCCTGGAACCCGTGCCCTCACGGGAGGGCTCAGCATGCTTGTAAACGAACAATAAAAAATCACGTCTTTCGGTGTATACATGTTGAGTAACTCTTGTGTACGCCTGAAACTAATATAACATTGTACACTAACTATATTTTTAATAAGAATCTTTAGAAAATAAAAATAGAAAAAAAAATAAAATAAATAAAAAAGTAATGCTTGGAGAGCTGGCCAGGTCTCTAAGAGCCAGATGACCTTCTCTTGTTGGAAACGTAACTGTGCTGCCTTCCTGCTTCTCCAGGCGGGCATGATCCGGACTCCAGAAGCAGATTACTTCCTGAAGCCGCTCCCCGCACACCTAGCGGGGCGGCTCAACGCCTCTGCTGGGGCCGGGCCTGCCTCCCACATCCTGTACAAGCGGTCGGCGGAGCCGCGGGCCCAGAAGGGGCTCCGGGTGAAGATGGTCCCGAGGCAGCGGCAGCTGGCGAAGCGCCACCTCTCCCGGAAGAAGCAGCCCCTGCCCGGTGGCCCCCACCTCGGGCCCCCGCAAAAGCAGCACTTCTGTGGAAGACGCAAGAAATGTATGTAAGGGCGATTCTCTTCGTGCATTTCACCATTCTGACGTTTCCATAAGCCAGTGGAACACCCGGAGTTCCCTTCAAAGTGTGTCTGCCCCTGAAGTGATACTTACTGGCTGTACTTGCTAAACTGAAAGGGATGATGCCAAAGAGAGCCCATTATCTGTTTGTTCAGTATAAAACGTCTCTCCATGGGAGGCGGATAGATAATGGGAAATGTTTCTGCTTTGTTTTGTTTTGTTTTAAGAGCTGTTCCCTGGGCAGATTAAATGACACACAGCTGAGGATAAAGAATGTCTTCGGGAGAACCCTGGCATCTGTACCCAGTAACTCTATATTTTTGAGGTCTAGGTTGATTAGAGCCCACATAGTTTTCCTGCTGAGGTAATTTATTCATATTTATACACTTGACTGACCACATCAAACGACAAGCTAGGCATGATGTAATTTACCCACAATGTATCACCACGGCTTTATCGAGGTCTTTTTTTTGTCATAAACATTTAGGAGGTGATATGTTGTTTACATTTTACGTAAGAACCTCTCACAAACTCAGGAATAGGAGTTCTGTGTTTTCTGGAATGTCCCTCATTTTCTTCAGCTTTCCGCGCAAGCATCATCCTTTAACCCTTCCTCAGGAACCCGTCTTTGCGCAGCTCCACCTTTCTCTTCTCTTTGGTCTCCTGGGCTGCTACACCCGGGACCCTAACGCAGAGGTGGGCGTGTGCAGGTAAACGTTGTGGAATGGAGTGAATGACCCACAATCACTGGGCGTCCACAGGGAAAGAATACGCACCATTAAACTGCCAGTGGCTGTGTGTCATCTGAACTCATATTCTCCCGTAAATATTAAATTCCTGCCCTCTGTTCAAATGGACGTGAAAAACTCAAACCCAGGTTACTGGCTTAGTGGGCTCAGGTCCGTCTTTCAGGAGGCTGCGGGAAGGACGGAGCCGGGAACAACGGGAGGTGACCAGGCGTCTGGGGAAGCCGGGAAGGCAGGCCCTGGGCTTCCCCGCGCTCCCGGTTCAGCGGGACTCATACTTCCAAGATTCTTCCCCGTTAGAGTCTCTGGGCCCGAACATGAGAGACTTTCCTGTGTGTTTGGGCATCTCTCTGTGGAAAAGGCAAACAAAGACAGATTGATTTGCTTAAAATCAGTAGTGACCCTGCCCCTTAGGCCCATGAATCTGCGTGCTGCTCCTGCCCGCAGGCGCTGCCGAGGGATTTTGAGCTGGGACTCGTGTTCGGGGGCAATGCTGCAGTCACCACACTGAGGGGCAAGTGACTTTCTGGGAGGGGCTGGTCAGAGCCCTCGCCAGTGAGATTCCCACCCCTGGGGCTTCTGCTGCTGTTCCCAGCTCAGGGGCCAGGGAGGCTGCTATGCTGCCATCGTGTCTACTTGCCTCCTGCTCTTGCATTTCCAGCGGTGAAGATGATGACTGAAGGCTTGGGACCACGCTGCCCAATCTGAAACCCATTTCCAAAACTTCTGAGGGAGGGGCCATGAGCCAGCTGTGTTCCTCCCCTGTGCGTCCGTGGCCGCATCGCTACCCGGGGCTGGTGCACAGACAATGAATTTCAGATAGACAGCTCTTAGGGCAGAGTTCACGTCTGTGTCAATTCCAGCAGTGTTCACAGCAGATGATGAAAGCTTAGTAGATGTTAGCTGGTGTAATTATTATCCCCCTAAAGGTTTGTTTACATTTGGAAGTATTTTAGCAACAAGAGATCAAATGCATTAGATGTGGGTACCAGTCAAACAAAGCAGCATCTTCCAGCCACGTGGTCCATAATTCGAGTTGAAGTCGTTTTGGGATGCTAAGTATGTGGGCATTTTAAAGTCTGCTTTCACATACAACAATTCTAACCACATGTTTGGAGGCATCACTAAACTGACTTGTTTTTAGCATAGTGTTAACTTACTGATTATAAATGCCAAAGCCATTTTTAAACTGCTGACTTCAAGAGTACAGAGTGTATTTTGCCTCCTAAGTAAATTAGGTAAACACGGTGCTTTCTAGGAAAGGCTGCTTTGCAGTGAAGTACATCTGTCCAGAGCAGTTTGGAAAACCCACATGAAACACTGCAGACAAACCAGCCATGTGTACAGACCTGGGAGTCAGCTTTAGAAACTGGCAGGTCATCAAAACTCTTCAAATAAGAAAACAGTGAAAGACAGCACTCTTTCTTGTAAGTGTCAGTTCCATCGCTTTGTCAGTAACTCTTTTTCAGAGCCCATTCCACCAATCGTTATGCTTCGAGTCTGAACATTTTGCCTTTAGATGCTATGTCTTCAGAGCCAAATGACCTTCTCTTGTTGTTTTAAATCAGGACATAATTTTACAAAGGTAAACATAGCAATGGTTTCCATGACATCCAGACTCCACGGACTTCATTTAAAGTCCTGTTTCACTTTAATACAAGTTTTACATCACAAAGTTTTAAGGGTTACATGGTTCATTCATGATCATTCATTTTGAAAATCCAATTTCAGTAGAACAAGTTCCACCTCTGGTTTTGTGTGATGAATGTGCTTGAATTTGCTCTCCCAACACCCCTCCATAGACATGCCCAAGGCACCCAGGGAAGACCCCTTCATCCTGCCTGATGAGTACAAGCCTTGCCCACGGAACAAGCGCTCTCTTCTGAAGTCCCATAGGAATGAAGAACTGAACGTGGAGACGTTGGTGGTGGTCGACAAAAAGATGATGCAAAACCACGGCCATGAAAACATCACCACCTATGTACTGACAATACTCAACATGGTAAGAACATGAACTGCCCTCTTGTAGAGACCACGTGTGTAGTCACACTTTACGGGATGTGCGCGCATGTGTTCATGTATGTGCTTTACAGCCTACTTTTTACGTATGGAATTATACCTAGTACATAGAAATATTTTATCTGTGGTAACTCCTTCAGTTTTACTGGGCTCCAATCAAAAGAGCCATTTTTAGAACTGCAGAGGCTCTGTTGGAGGATAAACAATTTGACCCTCTCTGTAAGCTGGTAATGTGCTTTGATGTACTGATGTCTTCAGTTATCAGAAACCTATAAGAGGATGCTGAGATGCTATAGGCAACACATCTGTTTATCACCATTGTATGTGTGATTAGAGATGGCTCTACAGAAATACTCATTTCTAGCAGTATTAATATCCACATGTTGACCTTAGATTATTTAAGACACAGAAACACAGTACAGCCCTTTCGAGTGTCATCTTAGATAAAATGTGTCTATGTCCCAGATTGGCAGCTGTGGAAGAGTTATGAGAAATCTAAACTCCGTTTCGCCTAAGTGACGTCTAGATAACAGAAGACAAAATCTTGGGTCACCAAAATCTGTTTAAAAAATAGTTGTGATGACAATACTTTAAAAATAGATTTTAGGTTCTACCTCCATGAACAGAGTGCCCCTAAATGCGTGTCGCGTTCCCACGATGCCACCTGTTTCCTATTGCTCGCATCACCTTGGGCAGACCGACCCACATGGCTTATGACCTCCCAGGGAACTGAGGGGGACAGTGACGCTAAAGCCCCTAGCACTGCATGCCCACAGGCCTGAGGATGCTCTGATCTGTGCAAGCGTCGCCTCTGCTCTGCAGAGCTTCTCTAACGTTTCTACATCTCCAGTGTGAAGCCGTGAGAGGCAGCCAAGTGCCAGGTCAGCTCTCCGGTGCATCCCATGCCGCTGTCTGCCATTGCTCATCACCTAACCGCCACTCCAATATTTGTTTCTACATCTGGAATCATCACCTCTCATGTTTGCCTCTTTCTTTGATCATTTTCTTTCCACTTGTCCTGCTCTTTCTCGTATCCTCTTGGTCTCTCCCCAAGCATCTATTTTATGCTTCTGGAATCCCTCGCCAGGAGCGCGTAGTCATCCCCATAAGCACAAAATCCTCCTTCTAGTCTAATGAGGACATTTATCAACTCAGAGACCTTGTAATCACATTGATGGTGTTTGAGAAAATGTGGAACTTCCCTCCCCAAACTTCAGTTTTTCACTCCGAGGCACGAATGACAAGGTTTCAACAATCCGTCTTGGTCAGTAGAGATCCCGGTGCCTGTCTGTCTAACAGTACAAGAAACGTAGTGTCACTACGTAACTGAAGAACATGGGGATTTGCCTTCAGCTGCAGGATTCTAGGCCGACTGAGGACTCGGGAAACAATGTCCCATATGGGGACCGACATGGACTGCTTGTCTTTTTCAGGTGTCTGCTCTGTTCAAAGACGGGACCATTGGAGGAAACATCAACATTGCAATTGTAGGTCTGATTCTTCTAGAAGAAGAACAGGTATTACATCTTTGAAAACAGCAGCTTTCCAACCCCAACCCATGCCCCGAAAAATCAATGTAAACTAATGCCTTGTTTTTCTTATATAATTGTTCTATAATTCTTTACTTCTCTTTCCCTTAGGGACAAAACTTTTAAAATACTTTTTGTCTAACTCAACGCATGCGTGTCAGTTCCTTAAATGATTATTTTACTTTTTGTGGTTTTCATACAGAGGTAGTAAGAAGTACTGATTTAATCAGTTCATAAAGAAATGGGATAGAAGATCTGTCTTTAATATATGGGTGGGAAACACACTGTAAATAAAAAGTATAAATTGTGTCTCCAGCCACTGTGAACTCCTAGCTTGCTGGGTGGAGCTGAGCCCTTTTTGTCCTTTGCCAGAAGAATAAAACCACCCCATAGCATAGAAGTTAAATCATGCTGTGTGGCATTGCATTGTTTTGCTCTCTTATCTCCCAGCTCCTAAGACTGATCCCACTGACCCTCATACCTTGAGTCTTAGGATTTTATTCTCATAGAGATTCTGCAACATTGAGCACATTTCTCTCGTTGATACAAACGCCCAGTGGTGCGGGGTCTTGGTAGCGTTTGGTAAAAGCTTGTAGAGTCCCTGGCTAAATGCATGGACATACAGTTCCATTCACAGCACAGATGCACCTGAACATTTCCCGGCACAGTAACGGGGCTTCTGCCATAGGAGGCTCTCACTTATATTTTGCCCAGAGCTCATCCTTGATGGGGCGTGAGCCAGGGAGCCCGGGACCCCCATCAGATGCCCTGCACCCACTCCCACCCTTGCCAATGTCTTGGCAGAGGCTCCTGTCAGTTATAATGATCTTATTTATAAAACAAGTCATTTGTTAGATGAAATCTAAGATCATTCATAAGATCTAAGATGCCCCCAGACTTTAATATTCCGGGGCTGTGCTCTTTTCCTGGGCAGGGCGGGAGCATGTACAGGCAGGCCTACTTCTAGGCTGAACAGTCAGGAAGATACAAGCCCATTGTCTTTTGTGTGAGTGTGTGTCTGTCTGGGAAGGGGGTGCTGAGCCAGCAGGGCTTCTCAGGTGACAGGTTAATTATTCCTTGTATTAAATCGTGTTCACCTTGGCATTCCTCCAAGCTGCAAAGAATAAGTGAGGTTATCTTTTGATCGTACACCTGTGTTAACTTTAATTAATGCAGTTTTCCTGGAAATCGCCAGCTGAAGAATGTAAGGCGTGACCGAGTGCTGAGGCTCGCCATTTAGCTCAGGCGAATTTGACTTTCTGGAAAGACATAATGAACATGGAAGGAGAAAACATGTTCCGTGACTGAGGGATAAAAATTCCATCATCATAGTCTAGTCATGAAAGCTTTCAACAAGTTGTCCTAAACTACTTGAAGTGTTTAATCTGGTTTTCTCTGACCATCACAGGAAAATACAGCATTCTTATAAATAAGGCTCATCGCAGCCTGCGCCCCCCACCCCCACCCCCAATTCTTCATTTCCCACGAGTGTACATGTTCTTCACGCTGAAATTTCACTGTCGCTTGGTTAGAACTTGGTATATATGGACAAGGTTGAACATCTTCTATATATTTTCTTTCTGGTTCCAGTTTATTTCAGAAATGAAGCTTTCTCACTTGACCCACTCGATACATAAATACTTCACCTCCGTAGGAAAATGGCTTCACTTAACACCGCAATACTAAATATTAGAAGAGCTATAAAATGGAAATCCCATTTGCTCAACATGTCTGGGAAATAAACATTCACTGGCTGGGTGTACTAGTAGTGTATGTGCTCAGTCACATGGAAATGAACCTGTTGCCTTGTATAACTTTGCAAGCAGTTTTACCAACGTTGTAAATGCAAAAAGCGTAAGTGCTGAAAGTGATCTTTCTTGGGTCACTGGAATGTATTCAGGGCCGGCTAAATACATCGCAGCTGTTTCTGTATAGAACTAGAGAAGCCAACGTAAGTGTCTGTCCTGAACCTGTACAGGTTTCATAGAACACACCATTGTTTGTATTTAATACATAAAATGGGTAAATTATGTGCCATTCACATCCCTCTATGTATTGGCAATCCAAGTGTGTGAGAGCTTGCTGTGATCTAATGCTTAGCACCAATTGCACGATAACCCGTTTTCTTTCTCTTATCACGGGGGCCTCGGTCTCCTGCGTAGCCAGGGCTTGTGATCAGCCATCACGCAGACCACACCTTAAGCAGCTTCTGCCAGTGGCAGTCTGGACTGAGGGGGAAAGACGGGACTCGTCATGACCACGCCATCTTACTAACCGGTCTGGATATCTGTTCCTGGAAGAATGAACCCTGCGATACTTTGGGTAAGCTCCCCCAGCAAAGCTCTGAAAGACACACCTGTGCTGTGTGCCTTCTGGGGCTGAAGGTATTGAGTACCTTCGCCCTCATTCCAAATCCAGTAGCAGTAGCCGCTGCCGAGTGCACTTGCAGAGGTTCGCATCCCCATATAACCTTTGGTCAAACAGAAAAGTATGCATTTATTCATCAAAAGTGAATTTTTCACAAGGAAATGTCTCTCACAGATTCAAGAGTTCCTGTCTCCTCTAACTTAAGAAGTCATTTTTTTTTACTTCTTCCTCCGTTTGTGAGAATGAGGTCAATAGATTCAAGGGTGTTTCATTGTGTGGCTGAAGTGGCATGTCTATGAATATTTGTAGCGATGGCTCAACAATATTATATTCCCCATTTTCCCATATCTTTATAAATATCTCAACCATAGCAATCTTTTTACATGTTTCTAGGGCTGAGTATATCTTAGAGGCAGCACTTAGATATTTTTCCACATAGTCGGTGTAAATAAAGCATGGTGTGCTACTGACAAGGGCTCCCCTGGATGTTTTTCCAAACTCTCCATTTTTTTCCCCAGGATCTTAGGGAAGAAGAATCGTTATTATAAAAACAAAGCAACAAACGAACAAGGCAAACAAACAAGCAATAACTCATAGACACAGACAACAGTTTAGGGGTTACCAGAGCGTAAAGGGGGATAGGGGAGGTAGAATAGGGTAAAGGGGATCAAATATATGGTGATGGAAGGAGAACTGACTCTGGGTGGTGAGCACACAACGCAGTGCACAGATGATGTATTACAGAGCTGTACACCTGACACCTATGTAATTTTATTAACCAATGTCACCCCAATAAATTTAATAAAAAATAGAAATAAATAAAAGCATCCAGTTAGGACTCAGTTTGATAGAGGCTAACCCTGGCGTGTCTTAGGAAGCCTGCTGGCATTGCTGGCCCTTGGCTGGCCTCTGAGCGCTTAGATCCCTGGAAGGTTCCCACGCCCGAGCTGCTAAGCATGGCTCCCTGTGCCTGAACGGTACCAATAACACGGTTTATGCAGAACACTGCTTACCTCTGCGGAGTCTGGAATTTGGGTCCATGCCAGGCAGAGGGTGCTTATATGAACAGCCCCCGGAAAACCCCTGGACCCTGAGTCTCTGGTGAAGTTTCCTGGTGAACAGCAGTCCACACTTGTCACAGTGCGTCACTGGGGACATGAGGGGCGTCCTGGGTGGCTCCACTGGGAGAAGGCTCTGGGAGCCTTGGTCCCCGCCGACCCTTGTTCCCGTTGCTGATTTTTCTCTCTATCCTGCTGCCAGATTAAATCATATCTGTGAGTCTAACAGATCCTGAGTCAATGAATCCTCAGGGCAAATCCTGGAACCGAGGGTGGTCTCGGGCCTTCCCGGCACCATCATTCCCTACCGTGCTTTTTCACTCAGTCTTTTGAGGACACAGATATTTATAGAACAAGTCAGACATCCTCCCCATCTGCAGTGAAAGCCTTCTTCTGCTTTGTCCAGTTGTCACCTGGGGCATAAACATTTCATAGAGCCCTGAGCTGTTTTCTAAGCAGCGGGAATACACCCGCTCATCCCACATCAAGGGCCCTCTCTGTGATCGCCCAAGGGTTTCCCATCTCATATTTCAGCAGATGAAGGTGAGAACCAAATTTCCCTAAAGGATGGAGGGTAAATATGCATATATAATACACCCTCTTCCTTTAGCTTATGACAATACTGCTCTGTATACTTTTGCCCTTTATGCCCCGTAGGATTTGCGCCCATAAGTGGAATGTGCAGTAAATATCGCAGCTGTACAATCAATGAAGACACAGGTCTGGGACTGGCTTTCACCATCGCCCACGAGTCTGGACACAAGTAAGTGCATGACCATGAAAGGGGGAAGCCCAGGTCCTTCCCCTCCTGGTTGGTTGCCATGGAAATACTGACTCATCAGGTCATGTATTTTGGGGGAATTCACATGTACCCAAGGAGAATGTCATCGACAACAAGAAAGTGCTACCTCTGGTACTTGTTCTGTTTTTATCTTAGTGCCTCGTCCTGCACGGTCAATGCACGGTTAATGCACGGTTTATGCTTCCCTCGCTCTTTTCCTCCCTTATATTCTGCTCACATGTGCGTGTACCATTGCCGACTCTTGTATCGGTCCCTCCCGCTCTGTCCTGTGGGCTAATCTCATTTCATGGTCAGCTCCTATCAGGGGACTCCAGGAGACAGGACAGTAACAAGCCCTCCTATCGTTAACTCGTCACACTCAAGTTTGTGTACTTCCATCACTTTTGGAACCTGTAGAGATGTTTTTGGATCGGTGTGCCCAGCAGAGCTTGGGGAGTGCAGGTGCGCAGCAGGCCAGGCCCTTGCAAAAGGCAGTAATTTGGTCTCCATCCCCCATTTAGGAAATGGACTGAGGTCACGCATGTTACTGACCTGTTCAAAGCATCTGCCTGTGTGTGTTTGTGTGTGTATGTTCACGTGTGTGTGCCTGTGTGTGTGTGTACCCATCCGTGCCTGCCTTGCATGGAACCCCATGGAGGCCCTGCAGACGTGGCTGTGTATGAACTGATGACCTGAAAGTGAAGCTTTATATCCTATTACTGATCCCTTCTTCATTGCAGGTAATGATTGACTTTTTCAGTGCCTATAAAATTGCACCTACACTTTATAAAGCCTTCAGTTAAATCATAATTGTATTTTTTAATAGGCTGCTAGAGTTAGAACATCAAAAACTCTCATTATTTTAACGACATGGGCCTCTTGCTGTCCTCTGAACCATACCTGAATTTAATTAAACTATCAAGGTAAGAAATATTTAAGTCACAGAGGGCTGAGCACATCAGCATTAGATCGGCAGTTGAGATATGGGCACTGGCATGGCAGTGCGAGCAGTTTCAGGGGGTGAATTTAACTAAAGTTAAACTTGATACATCTCAAACGAGGCCCTTAGTCCTCAATGTCAACAACTATCAGTGTTTACTTTTATTTTCTCTCAGAAATCAATTATTAATATTTCCTTTCATCACTTGGGCTGGAACTAGATGGAAAAGGAATTTCTTCCAAACAAGAGAAAAGTGTTGTTATTTGCAAGTGGGAATATAGGTGGGAGAAGGACAGGGGCTCTGGGTTTGGATGAAGGGCAGCCCTGCTTCTACCAGGCTTAATCCCCGACGATGCTCAGCGCCTTCTGAGTGCCTGACGTTTAGGGGACATTGTGCCCGGCGTGGCGGAACCGGGAGCTCTGAAGAGCGGACGTTGCCAGTGAAATAGCGGCTGATCATATTGAAATAGCAAATGTATGTAGGGAAACGTGCACATCAACCCCACGTGCAAAATGCCCAAATGAGTGCTAGGAACAGTGAGACCAAGGATGACAGTAATCGCTGTCATTCCCGCACTTTGTGGAGAGCATTTTGTAAAATGGGCAGAGCAATTTCACGTGTTGCTCAAACCACAGCAGCCACCCCAGACACTCTTTCCTCTTGGTTCACGAGCAGAGCCGGTCAGCCATGCTGAGCCGTAGGCACATGTGTGTGAGTGAAACGGGAGGTGGGAGTCAGGCGGTGAGCAAGCGAGCGAGTAGAGCGAGCACTCCAAGCTACAGCACAGGAGGCTGGCTGGCTCAGCAGGCTCCGTAACTAAACTCTGTGGATTTTTGTTGCATCGAAGACAAGCACATTTATTCAGTTTGTTTATTTAATAACTATTGTTTAGATGTCTTGAGAGTTATACTGGTGAAGCGTACCTAAAAATAGAAATTGCTAAGAACCAGCGTCCAGGATTTGTGTTGGAACCAGAAGTGAGGATGTGTGTGTTCTGCGTGTGTATGTGGGGCTGAGTCAGGACTGTGGGGCGGGAGAGTTTCCTGTTATGTTAAATCACTTGACAAGGGATGTGTGGTTTGCTACATGCAAGAGCTGAAGAATTGGCACAGAGGCATTGAGGGCTGAATTACACACTTTGGAGAATATGTCATCCACTTGAAAATTCCCACTTGCAAAGGGAATTCATGCCATTCGATGGGCAGGGACCTGGCACCTAGACTCCAGATGCATTATGGTTATCCTAGAGCCTGACAGTGACCAAGGCACATTGCCTGGTCTTCTCTTACCTGGGTTTCCATCTGCGAAGCCATTAGAGCCTGTGGTATCTTCAGCAGGTGTATGCAGGCACAATTTAGATGGTGTTGTTTGAGCTGAACATTTCTATTATATCCAATAGGCTGAAATACTTAATTTGCATCAACATTTCAGACAGTTAAGATAATATGAAATCATATTTACGATGCTCAGAAGTATCCCTGAGCCATCATTCTGTCTCCTGCCTTTTGCAGCATTTATGGACCCATTCTCTGGGCATAATTTGCATTCTGCCTTCAAAGCACTGTGTAGGATTCTATAAAAGAACGAGTGATCCATACCCTCCAAAAGTCTAACAGAGAATTAAAATAGACATGGCATGTGAGGGATCAGGCAGAGAGGGCTGGAGGCATTGGCCAGGGACACAGTCAGGGGAGATCGGGGAAGTCTTGTCCAAAGAAGCAGAATGGGCTTGCTAACACCATTCTGCTTGGACCTACTTGACTGGTGATGTTCAATGTCCTCAGGCATTCGATGGTGACGTGTATACCCCACCAATCTGTGGCTGGGCTCTGTCATCAACCTGGGTCCCTCCTGCTGGGATCCGAAGGATTTGTAGACTCTCAAGGCAAGCTCACACCTTACAGCTCATCCATTTGGTGACTGCAGACTGTACCCTAGTGAATTCCAGCAATTAAGGGGTCATTTCTTGCCAATTTTGTCATTCCTCTTAATATTTTCTTGTTTGTTTCTGTTCCAAAAAGTATTTGAAACCCATTGAGTTTTAGCTACACACACACACACACACACACACGCACACAGATGGGTACAAATGGCATCTAAGTGTTGAGTGATTTGACCAAGACCACATTTGAATCAGAGAAAGGGATAGAAGTTTTGAATTTTGGTTGGTGACATGCAAGGTTCCAGGTATTTGTACAGTTTATGAGAAAGGTCTTGTTATCCCATTTTATAAGTGAGGAAACTGAGGCTCAGATTTTAAGTAGTTTGCCCGAAGTCAAACTATTTATGAATGGCAGAGGCAAGGCCCTCACTGAGGTCTCCACCTCCACAGCTCACGCTCTCCCAGCTACCTGACCTTCCAAGCATCCCTGAGTCACACCTTACTGCCATCTCCACGTCAGCCCCCTGCTTCTCATGGAGGTTGGGTTTTGCTTCTTGGAGAGCCTGCATCAGAGCTCTGGACATCTTGGTCCTACCAGTGGTTACCGTCATCAGGCCAAGGGTGTGATTTACCATCCACATGACATTGGCCCATAATTTCTTCAGAGGGTTTATCATTTCCTTAACCTCTGCTATCCGAACAGCCTGAAATAATGAATACACCCTCTAAATATACTTGGCTGTTCATTTAGGTGTATCGTTAGCAATGAAGAAATACTTGTTGATGCAATTGACTCACTCAACAGAGTACTGCAGAAAATAGTAAAGGCATCTGACAGTGAATATATTTCTGTAGTCCAGTTTATTCTGAAATTGTGTTTATATCTGGGTATTGGAGTATAGCTGGAAGGTTGGTCTTGAGAACCTGGTATGGGCTGGTGAGCCCTCTGGCTCTGGGGCTATGAGCATGGATAAGAAGAATCTCTGTTCTTTAGAGACATATTAGATAGTAGGTAAGCAAGAAAAAATATACCTATTTGTTGCATTAACATAGAGCTGATGGCCACTTTGAATAAAGTACTATGGATCATGGAAGCAAAAAAGATCATTAATACATACAACTTGAATATTAATTCTATTTCTGGGTTGCCAAATGCCAACCTGATCTTCAAAATGAGCCCCACTCATTCTTCCGTGACTATGTTAATATCAGATGTGATCATCACGTGGCACTTCCACGCTGATGTGCTGACATCCCTCAGAGCACGACACATGGGAGTTGTCCTCCTCGGACACACAGCTCTCAGAATAGTGGTGCTGACACTGGGTGGGAATCAGAATCGCCGAGCTGTGCTAGAATATACCCAAATGCCAACCCCCGCCTCCTAAACCAGACACCTGCCAGGGGGAGCTTTGGGTAGCCGCGCTGCCCAGTGTATTGCTCACAGATTCTGATGCATAGCCGAGTTTGAGGGGAGTGCTAGAAGGAATCATAGAAAATGCCATAGATGGCAATGTTCAAGAGCAAGATGTCCCCAGACCTGGGAAGCCGTGACTTTGAACACCTCAGACATGCAGGCAGAAGTGGTGGCAAATGTACCCAGGGCACTCAGTGGAGCATAGAGTGTCTTGTTCGTAGTTAGGTCAGAGGCCAGCCAGGGCGGAGCACTCGGGTATTTTTTTTTTGTCACTTTCTCCCTGAGGCAGCCACCCATGTGTGATTACAGCCTGAGTCTTTTTCATAGCGATGACATATTTCATCTGCCATATGGTCACCCTGGCTGTGATTGATTGCTTTTAATAGAACTTGGGAGATTGGGCGGAGGCTGAAGTGACTGGGTATACATCACCCTTGGTACCGAGCAGGGGTTTTGCAGAAGTTGGACAAGGTTTCCATGCTAGAATTTCTTGGATACACCCTTTAATCATGCTCGGGTTTCACTGTTGCATGGGTTCCGGGCGCTGATGTCAGGGTGTCAGACTCCAGTCCTGACCCTCAGACCCTGGACCAGGCTCTCTGAAGTCCTCGGTCTTGCTGTCACTATATGACACCTACCTTACAGACTTACAGAGTGAGGCTCAAATTAGAGAACATAAATAGCATGCTTAATGTCCTGTCTGTAAAATGGTGAGTGCTTAAAAACATCAGTTGTTATTTTTACTGGTGTGATTAAACTGCTCTTAGCAAAATAGTAAAGTCAGAAATCGTGTCTTCAGCCTTGGCAGTAAGTACATTCTCTGTCCCCTTTTGGAGCTCACACGCCCTGTGTCAGTGTCTTCTGTCCCTGCAGCTCTCCTGCCCTCATCCCGGGATTCCGGGTTGCAGAATGTCTCCAGACCCAAGCAGCCACCTTTTCCACCTTTTCTCTCTCTCTCACTCTCCCTCCCCCGTCTTTCTCTCTCCCTCTCCTTTCTCCTTTTCTCTGGGCCCCAATCATTTAGAACCCCTCTCTCAGGAGATCTGTACAGTGACTGGGTAGGTATCAGACATCCACCCACAATAGCTCCACTCTCCAAGAATATAGTTGCCCTAAGAAGGAGACCTCAGGGCTCTGTAGAGCTCCCCAACCCGCCGTGGCTTCTTCCCAGGGGAGCAAGCTGTGCTCCTGCAGGGCAGGCTCTTCTACAGGCAAAAGCCTTAGGATGCTAGGGAGAAGAAGCACTTGGTGGGGGGAAGCAGCTGAGTCAGTGGGGTCCTCAGGGGTGCAGGGCCACCCAAGTGACAGTAAGGGGGGGAGCTGACTGACACCGTGGGGCTTCAACACCTGTAAAGAACCGTATTACGGGTTTCCGCAGCCACTGTAGCTTGAGATGCCCCCATTTGCTAAGCTAGAGCCGGAGCCCCAAAGTGGTTCCCTTTTCTCTCAAGAGTAACAGGTGCACTTTCAATCAAAGCCCACAGGTGAATGTAACCAGCCCATCACGGAGCCACTTCCTCCAAAGGGATGTGGGGAGAGGTCCAGTCAAGCGCTGCCCAGCAGCCACAGCCTCTGGCAGTGCAGGCCCAGCCTGAGATGGAGCAGCGCCAGGTGGCGGGGGAACAAAATCTCAGCACCGCCAGGAGTCGCAGTGGTTCACTGGTAGTTCTCAGATTGTGTCAGGTGTCAGACACATCTGGGAGCCTGGCATCTGGATTTCTGAGAGACACAGGAAATTGTGACGATCCCTAGTGAGCAGAAGAGAGCATAGAGGGAAAGGAAGGATCTAGGACAGTTCCAGCGCTACCAAGGACAGCCAATGAAGTGCCCTCCCCACCGCATTTGACATGCTTTTCTATAAGGGAAACACCTGCGCTTAGCAGACGTCGGGGCACGTGCCCTGTTTTGATGTTGCTGTGTGCTTTCAGGCAACTCAGTGAATGACAGCTCTTCCGGAAAGGTCTGTAAGCATGTGACTGGCCTCCCCAATGGGGCTGTTTATTTCTGCCTGAGCGGGACAGAGAAGTACGGGGTTCTGCACAGTATTGACCCATGTTTGTTAAAGTGTAGTAGACAATTTAACCTGTCCTTTGTTTGAAAGAACCATCTCTCTCTCTTGTAGCTTTGGCATGGTCCATGATGGAGAAGGGAACATGTGCAAAAAGTCTGAGGGCAACATAATGTCCCCTACCTTGGCAGGACGCAACGGGGTCTTCTCCTGGTCACCCTGCAGCCGCCAGTACCTACACAAATTTTTAAGGTATGATGTTTCAGAGCTGGCCATGTATCTCTTGGTGTCTTTGGTGTTCACGGCCACATCAGCCTGATCCTGTCCAGGCAGCCCCAGGCTTTGGTGTGACTTCCCGAGATGGTTCCCATTTGAAGGTGTCTTGAGATGTTCATTTGACCAAGGAGTTTGCCAAACACTTCCTTAGAGTGTGGAGACCCATAGGCTTAATCCAACATCATTCGACCTTTAAACTCCAAGGAAGTCCATGTGATAGTTACCAAGCCAAAATATTGCATACACATTTAGGTTTGTTTTTGTTTTTTGTTTTATTCTGTTTTGTTTTTTAATTCTTACATCTATATAAACGTTTTGGTCCATGAACAGGGGGAGCTAGTGTGTATGCACCTGTGTACACAGTGGTAAAGCACACCTAACTTTTTTGTTGTTGTTGTTTTTGTTTCTAACAAAATTAATTTCTTAATAGAAGAAATAACTTAACTATATAAACCTTAACCTGGCTCTGCATCCTGTAATTTTAAGAATTATTTTTAGGAAGTTTTATTATAGTACAAATTCATTTGGGATATTGAACATTGGGGAGGTAGGATTTGTCCCCCTGAACAATAAATAGCAGATTTTAAAATTTTAGAGAAAAAAGGGATTTTAAGAAGCAGCCTTAGATCTGCTAGTAAGGTACGTTACCCCCAGATCTCAATGGCTTTGAGTTTGTAGTTTGGCTCAAGCTTTAAACCATCGCTTGATTTCTGACTTGCACCACACACACTCCAACACAGCTTTGTGAGGTCTCTGCTCCATGTGGTCATTCAGACCCAAGTGCCTTCCACCTGTGGCTCTTTCGTCTCCTGCAACCTGGTTCTCCATTGCAGCCAGCAGGTAACGGGAAAGACAGAGCACTGGAGGGTTCATGGGACGGAGGCTGTTTCCTGGAAGGGAGGGTTCAGTTTATGGCCCTCCAAAGTGAATGTGGGGGAGGGGCTAAGAAGTGTCTACCTGTGGGCTCTGGAGGAAGAGGAAAAGAGAGTTGATACAGAGAAGAACATATGTGCTGTATCATCAACCCAACTCACATCACAGATGCAGTAACAGAGACCTGCAGGGACCAGCCAGTTAGTGGCAGAATTGACCATAGAACCCAGGCATTCTGGACCCTGGACCTCGCCTCTCCATCGACCCCAAGAACCACGGATGCAAAGGGCTGAGGAAAAGCAGTTCTGTTGAAATTGTAACATTTATTTTTGTGTTTATAAGTATTTAACAAATTATTACACTTGGCTCAAATACTAAAAAGATGAGGGAGAATCTTTATTTGTTTAGAAAGTAGCTCTTAACTTTGAAGATGACTTATCTGTGAGCATCAACACAGAGAATGGAATACATGGGCATGAGAATTTAGGAGCTGGATGCACCTCACCTCCTCAGCACCCCTTTCTCCCGTCCTGAACACATTCTTCTGGGACCGAATGGCAGCACCCGGAATAGACCCAGGTTTGATATTTCTGTTCATCATGAAGATGCACTGATTTCCACCTTTGCCATTTCAGGGACATGAGTGTTTCTTTGGCCCCAGGAAGGAGAGCTGCTTATATTCAGGATAAAGGACACATTTATTCAATGGACAGAAATACATTTTCCCAGATGTAGAAGGATTCCATTGGCTCACTAACAACTCACTGACTCACAGTAACCTACTGGTTGTCGTAAACGTCATGACGTATTTTTTCTGTTTTTTGTTGCAAAAATGCGTCATGACTTTTCTGACAACCCAATAGTAGAGGAGATCAAGAGCATCCTTGTTTTCAAACGCACCCGTGCTGGCAGGAAACAAAGGGAAATGGAGCCGTGTCTAGTTCTCAGCTAAGCACATTCACGATGTTGAGGTCCGTCAAAGAACTGTCTGTCACTCGTTCCAATTGTGCATTCTTGGAAAAAAACTAACAAATGAAACCACTATACCTTAAGAAATTGGAGTGGATTATCTCAAGAAAAAAATTAGTAGAGTTCCAAGTTAGATGAAGAGAAAAGCAAATTAAAATAAAAAATTGAAGACCAAGGAGAAACACACAAACGTGTAGATCCTAAAGGACAAACTTGATCCCTGATATTGAAGCTTGAAATCGGCCTAGGATCTTTCTAGAAACCAAAGCAATCTTGTTATAGATATAATCAATGTGTATTAATTATAGGTTTAATCTGCATTAATAGAAAATAGGGCAAATATCAATATTTCAAGGAAAGCAAAGCTTTTACCAGCACAGAATTTGAAAAAATAAAACAATATATAAACATAACTGTAGATATATATATATATGTGCACATGCATTTATAAAAATGCTTCCATATACTTTATACTTACATAATACTCTATATATTATGCCTTTGATATATAAACTATATTTTCCATATTTGTAACAATAAAATTATATTTCTATGTCATATAGTGAGTGTTTATAAATATTAGTACAAATGCAAACAAGAAAACCATTGATGGAAAGTTACCTGGGTGTAAGCTCTCCCCTCTCACCTGAGGACACATGTGTGACTGCCCACTTCTGCTGTCCTCTTGACCCGGCCCTAGAGTGATTCCATCCTGGGCCACCCACACAGGCACCAGGAACACAGCTCTTTTTCTCATACTTTTCCTGGTTTTGCCACAGCATGGTCCCAGCCATGGAGCAGGGACAGAGCAAGGGGAGGCAGCTGCAGCGGTCATGGCTCAACTGGCCCGGCCAGAGCTGGGGGCAGAAAGAACAGGTTGGCAGTATCAAGAAGTGCCAGGGTAGCAGCCAGAGGGCTGCCTTCTGAGCCTCTGCAACTTATATGCCTGGAAGTCAAAACTAAGAGCTAGTTACTGCAAGCTAAGAATTACGGACTAAGTACACCACCCCGTGATCTTCTGTAGACACAGTCAGGGTTCAGCTGGCCGCTGGCTCTTTCACTGACCTCCTTACTTTGGGTTCTAGATTTTCTGTATTTTCCTTCTCTCTTTCTTTCCCTCTTTCTCTCTTATTTTTCCAGTAGAGCCCCTTTTCTTTCTTTTTCTCTGTTGCACAGACTAGGTCATCTTGTTTCTAGAACACCATTCAGCCAGGTCACACACTACGTCTGCCGGTTTTACTCTCATCTATTGTCCATTATCTGATGGACTGCTCCCCCATGCCCACCTGTAGCCATGAGCCTGTGGCTGGTTGACCTCCGTCGCTGCCTCTTCCGCCAGTCCTCCAGGAGACCTCATGACATGTCTTCTGAGCCAGCACCCTGGCCACCAGCCCGCAGGGACTCCCACCTCCAGCTGTGACCCCTTCCTTATAGTTCTACTCTGAGATCTCAGGCAGCATATTTTATGCCTGAAAGGAATGATGGCTGCTTTCCACATTTTATGCCCCCCAGAAAAAGTGAGAATTTTGTGGACAATGTCTGGGTGCTGGTAATATAAACCTATTTACTAGGAATGCACATTTGCTCATTTTTCTTTTATTTGTATTATCGTAAAAGGCAGTGTTAACATTATTCTACAACTGGCATGACACATCAGAGTCCTTTACCATTTGTTGTTCCTTACACAGCACTCTTGGGGAGTGGATTTGGGGATTGTTAGCATTGTTTGTAGCTGTTTCTTGCAGCTGTTCAGCATGTGTGTGAAGAATTCTGCTTCCTGTAGTAAAGAAGAACATTTCGCTTGGTGCTCACAAGCTCTTATTTGTAGTATCAAGAAAAATTGGGTAAACGGGCTCAAATATATGGTGATGGAAGGAGAATTGACTCTGGGTGGTGAGCACACAATGTGTCTATAGATGATGTATTATAGAGTTGTACACCTTTTGAAACCTATGTAATTTTACTAACCATTGCCACCCCAATAAATTTTAATTTAAAAAAAAATTGGAGATTTCTTTATCTCAAACCCTTTCTATAACTTTCTAGATTCTTTTTGAAAAAAATGGTATTGCTTTTTTCATTTTCATAGTAACAATGAAGACATGTAAACATTTTCAACTTTTTGAAACGTGCTTTGACCACTTGGAAGACGGGATGCAAAGTCTGGGTGTTCAGTGAGAATCAGCATCATGAAAGTATCCAGAAAAAGTTTAACTGCCAAGAAATATAGAAAAACTCATGGAAAGAAAATATTTACATGCTTAGCGAATGATTGTTTTGATGACATTAAATATGGGCTACAATCTTCCAATGAGCATGTGATCTTCAGAATGATTATCAAGGTTCTGGAATTCAACACCATTTTTGTCCTGTGATTCTGAACCAGTCAGGTGTGCTTTCAAGTGTGTTCAGTTGTTTTTGTGCTCATCAGTGAACCCCTTCTGTCATAATTCAGTAATAAATCTTAACGTTCAGGGACTTTACAAATTTCTCTGGACCACATGATTGTAAATAAATATGCAAGATTTTACAAGCTCACAAGTGTGTTTTCCTGGAAGATTAAATTTTCCCAAAAAGACTCTCATTGTCAAATTCGCTATGAGGGTTTATTTTCCCTGAGATGGCCAGTTGTGAATCGGCCATGTCTATAACATGTTAACACTGATTTTTTATCAGCCTAATGAATCTGAGGCTGTCGTCTTGGACATGTCTGCTGACTTCCTGAATTCCAAGTAATCAAAATACTGTTATATTCTCCACCAATTAGGTGGCTGTTTGGACATGATCCCAACAATGAGTAAGGATAGATGGCTAACTTGTAACGATGAATCTGCTTTCCTTTATTAGCAGTCTAGCATTTGGTAAATGGAAAAAAATATATAATAAGGAACTCAACAGGCATGAAGTTGTCAGCACAGCTTTTCTCTACTCTTGGTAGGAGTCCAGAAGGACAGATACGTGTTTGGAGTAAATTTGTCAACCTCGTCAATAAAGTCATGTGTCATTTCCTAAGAACAGGCTCAGACCTCATCACATTTGCTCATGTCTGCGTCCCAGAGGCCTGGGGTGCAGGGGAAGTTTAGCTCGTTACTTTCAACTTCATGGCGACGTGGACCCATCTTCGATTTATTTTTAAAAGAGTTGAGGCATGTACTGCTGAGCAGTGAACACACCTCCGCTCGGACCTCACGAGCCTACACCAATGCACAAGACAGGCGGCCGTCACAGAGCTGGAAGTTTGAGAGTGCGTGGATCCCTGCTGTACCCTGCACCACCTCTGCTGATGAGAAAAGTTGATTTGACCTGAGAGCCCATTCAGCTTGCTATAGGGCATAATGGAAACAATACATCTCAGTCGCATCCTGCTCTGCTATATAGTGCGAACTTTACAAGAAAACAAGCTAACAGGCCACAGTGGGTTGTAGTTTCTGCAGAGCCCATGCGACATTAAGACGAGAATGGGAACTGCCGTGTGATGGTAAGAGCAGCAGAGGGTGTCAGAGATGACGTACTGAACAAGGCTTTATCACGCATGCCTGGGAACCTCTTGACCTTCACAAGTAATATAATCTTTTGGGGGGGACCGTCTATTTTTTCACTTGGAAAAGGAGGAAATACAACTAAAAGATCTCTCAAGTGCTTCAATATTTTTGTGGCTCATGAACTAGAGTGGTAAAAGGGTTTTGGAACATTGCTGTGTTACCTTTGACATTTATTTTCTTTAACAGAAGGTTTTTCAAAATTCTAATGAAGTCCGAATTACCCATATTTTCCCTTTAGTATGAGCACTTTTTGTGCACTGCTGGAAAAAAGCTCTGCTTGCCCCCACATCAGGCATACATTCTTCCACATGGTCTCTTATAAGCTCTATTGCTTTCTTGTCACATGTAGGCCACCTGGTTTTGGCGCAGGGCATGCAGCAGGCTGCACTCATTGTGTCCTTGTGGATGTTGTGGTAGATTGTTTGGAAACTATCTGCATTGCTTTTCCTTCTAGCACCCACTCCCTACATCAGCGTCGTTGACTCTGGGCTGAGCTGTGTGACCTGATTTGGCCAAGGGGACAAGCTCAAACATGCCCAAGCATGAGCCTAGCCAGAGGGACGCTGGGTGACATCAGCATGCGGAGTCTCAGCCCTTCATACCTGACGCTAACAGGAGCCTTCAGTCCCACACTGGCGCACACACCTGGTCTTCCCCACCCCGGGACCCTGCCAGGCTCCAGTCTGGGCATGCTTGTTAACCAGGAGACCTCATCCTCACCGCCATATGCTTTACTCAGTGGCTTTGTTGACCAACACACCTCCCCTTACATTGTTCTTCACTCCTGGCATGTCCAGTTTTCCATCTGAGAATGTTTCCTTTATGTCTGAAGGGGCTCCGTGAGGGTGTTTGTTTGTTTTAGTGTGGGCTTCCCAGTGGCATATTCTATTTTTGTCTTTATTTTACTCTTCTTATAAAGGGTATTTTGGGTTTGAAAAGAATTCTAGGTTAGCAGTTATCTTTCTCCAGTAATTTGAAGCTGGCATTTCCTCGTTTCTTGGCATGTGTCATTTCTATTGACAAGATAGCTGTCAGCCATGTTGTTGTTCTTTTAAAAGTTACACGTCTTGGGCCGGCCGAGTGGCGCGATGGTTAAGAACTCGCTTGGGATGCCAGAGGGCCCCGGTTCGGATCCCACATATGAGGGCCAGTGACACTGCCCTCCACAGCTAAGATGCTGAACAACAGCTCAACCTGGAGCTGGGCTGCCGAGAGTCGCCGGCGACGGCGTGGGCTGCAGTTCCTGTGGCAGTGGGTTGCCATGGGCTACCGTGTGTGGCCAGCAGCCAGCGTGAGCGGCCAGCAGCCGCAGTGAGCGGCCGTCCAGAAGCCGGCGACTGATCTGCCTCACCCGGGAAGAGCGCAATGATGGTGCCAACTTGGTCCAGTGAAGCAACATCCTCCACAACTAGACTGAAGAACAAAACGACAGCAACTTGTCTGTTCCCCTTCCCCCAATTCCCCAGCACTGTTCCCATCCCCCCAATTCCCCAATAAAAAAATCTTTAAAATAAAAAAAAAAAAGTTACACGTCTTTTCTTTTTTTTTTTTCAGGTTGCTTTTGATAGTTTTCTGTGATTTCGGTTTTCTATAAAATTCCTATGATTTTCCTATGTGTGTTTTTCTTTACACTTTTCCTGCTTTGAATTTTAGAACTGCTTAAATTAAACAGATGTTCCATCAGGTTTTGAACATTCTTGGTCATTTTATTTACAAATATTGATTCTGCCTCATTCTTTCTATCGGCTCTTTTCTTGGATTCCAGTTATGTAAATGTTAGCGCTTTTTGCAATACACCGTATGCACGTCGTGCATGTGTGTGTGTTAGTTCTCCGGTGAAAGTCTTCATCTGACTTCTGTTTTCCCAAGCCTACTAATCATAATACTTTTAAATCCCACTTCCAGTTACACATTCTCTTGGATTTAAATCATTTGGTCTCATCTCCTAGTACACTTAGTAATTTTGAACAAATGAGAACATTGTTTATGAAAATTGAAAGACCATAAAGCTCTGTGTGATATTATCTTTTCTTTCTAGATGATAGGGTGGTTGCAGTTTATCTTAATCCGCTTTGGGATTGAGCTGATGCCAACCTGCCATCCAGTCTCTCTAAACCGGTCTGTTCGAGTTCGTTGTCACTCCTAGAGATAGGCCCGTTGTGACATCAGTGGCAACCCTGCAGTGTTTACCAGGACCCCTCCTTTCCGGCAGGCCCTCCGTTCTTATTTCGTCTCCCAGCCCCCTGCTCCCCACCCCCAGTTGCCAGAAAGTTCGCTCAGCTTCTCAGCCCCTGACCTCCGCTTTCTGCTCTGCCCCTTGCCTCTTGGCAGCTGCTTATGACTCATCAAATTCCTTTTCTGAGGAGGCCTTTGGCTCAGCTCTGTGCCTCCCTCTGCTCTGGAAATTGTCATCCTTCGTGTCCTTTTTCCCTTTAACAGTTTTCCGATGCCCATCGAAGAGGATCAGGCTGACACATGCCAGTCTCGAGAAGTTAGAAGCGAAAGTCCCCTTCGGTTTCAGTGTTAAGGCTGAATAATAAATAACAGGTTACATTTACAAAAAGTGTAAACATTCCTGAACCTGTGAACCGCTTTATAATTTCTCAGTTTCCTGTGTGGGCCAATCAGTGTAGCTGACTTTCCCTGGTTCCCTGTCCGTGGACTGGGAGTAATATTGGCAACCCTGACATAACCATTGAGAGATAATGGGGAACATCTAACTAGTACATAGAAATCATTTGCGATCCATTCAAGAGAGGTGCTATGGAATTCCAAATTTGCCAAATCACTCCCGTCTTGGAGTGTTCATTATGCTTTTATTCATTTCGCTTTACTTATAAATATGCACTGGCATCATCACCAGGGTGGCAGTATTATTAAATCATTAATGAGCACTCCCAATGAGCCAGTCATGACTCAGAAATTTCCTATCGTCTGACTTCACCTCTAATTCTTCGTTTGCTTGGAAAAACCTTCTGACCTCCTTGCATGTAGAATGAATCTCTCTCCACGGTGACTGGTGCCACCCCTCACAGTCTGGGTACATGGATAGTAATTGAGGCCATGCATCGATGGACTCCAGGGCAGAGGAATCTGGGATCAGGGCCCTAGGGTTTGGAGCCAGAAAGAGTCCAATCAAAGTGGATGATAACCATCGGAAGAAAAGTTAGGAAATGCATGGGCAGATGTATTGTTGGTCAATGCATTGTGATTACAGGGGTTTGTTGTTGGTTTTTTCTTTTGGCTTATTGAAATTTATAAGTAGGACTTAGTTGCTATTTGCAAACACTAGCTGTCCCTCCTCACTCCAAATGCAGCAATGATACCTGAGTACATCTCTGGTAGGGAAGGGGATACTGTATCTGTGGAAGAAGGAATTGTTAGTTGGTCTTTAGCCATCTGCTGGTAAACTTAAGCAGAGTTAATTTCCTCCTTGAAGTGGAAGTCTAGCAAGAAATTAGCCTGAGTATAGAGCATTGGTGGTGAAAATCGTTGTACTGTTCCATTCAGAACCTCTGGAGCTATTGTGCAGGTGTCCCCTAGCCTAGGAGAGGAAAGGAGGTAGGGAGGGAGAGAGAGAAGGAAAGTAAATTTTAATCTTTGAAATAGGCTGATTATGTTTGCCTCTATAATGCCCATTTCCATCTTGTGATAGTTCCTGGCACAAAGTGTGTGTAAAAGTTGTCTGTACTCAGAGCTCCTCACGTTGAATATCTGGCCGTATTTTTCCATTTCACTTTTCCTCATGAGTCTGAGAAATCTGAAGAACAAGGAGTTACCTTCCTGGAAAAAGTGAAATGGACAATTTCAGAATATGTGGCCCCTCTATTTAAATATAACTAAGATAATTGTTATATTTGACCTTACGGGGGAAAAATATGCCCTCTTCTCCGTGCAGGATATGTTGTAAATCTGCATGAGAAAACAAGGGCATAACCGAATATACATCTTTAATCATTCTTTCGGCATCACTGTTTTAGCACAGCCCAAGCGACATGCCTTGCTGATCAGCCAAAGCCTGTGCAGGAATACAAGTATCCTGAGAAACTGCCGGGACAGTTATATGATGCGAACACCCAGTGCAAGTGGCAATTCGGAGAGAAAGCCAAGCTCTGCATGCTGGATTTTAAAAAGGCAAGTGATTGTTGGCCGATGCTCAGTGCAATGTGATTCATAAAGTCGTTTTATTCAGTGTAACTGACATTGATGTATTCGGCATGTATTGGGTACCTACCAAATGTCAAATCCTGTATGTTAGGGCTGGTCCTGTATAACAGGAAACACATGTTTTACTGGCAAAGACAAAATGATGATTGATACTGTTGTGGGGATCAGTTTTCATTTGAGAATGGTGTTGCCTGTTAGGTCAGCCCTTTCTTTGAGATTTATCATGTGGGAGCTTAGCAATAACTTTTGGTTGGTGTAAGTTGCAAATTAATACTCTGCATTTTTTTCAAATGGTATTAAGAGAACAATGCCCCCCTTACCTTCCTCCAATGTAAGCGTGATTTACTATAAAGCCACAGCCTATCTAGAGCTTCTCATGATTAAATTCCCCAAATAAAGTATTTATAGAGAAGTTTCTCATGGGAGGTGCTATCTACCATGTCGGCCCCAGGGACCCCGCCCCCTCCACCCCCCAGCGTGGTTTCCTAGTGTAAATTCCTCATATAACTCAGAGACGTGTGCTCTAGCTGGACAAGGGAACTGCAAAGGGAAACTACCCATAAATTAAATGAAAGTAACTCTTCTTGAGGTGTCTAGTTTATTACAGAATTAAGAGGAAAACCGGCGAACATTTCCGAATGCCCTGGGAGTATTCCCAGTTTAAATCTAACAGCGATAATCTCCTTTCTTCTAAACTCAAGCTGAGCTCCGGCCAAGATCGCTTACAGCCCTGTGCCAGGACTGGGTTCTCATCTGCTCAGCTGGGCAGTGTCAGCTCGGACCACGAATCGCACATCAGTCAGCGTCAGCGTGGATTCCCAGCTGCCCCTCTTCCACAGGCAAAATATGTGACCCCACACCAAGAACTTTTTGAGTGTTACTCTTTTGTGTGTTAAGGAAAAGGGGTGTAAAACTAATGTTTTCTTTCCAATATAGGATTTTCTGCGTCATGCTCTGGTTTCCACATTATTCTGCTCTGCGGCCATGGACTGTCGTCCATGACACCCTCATGCCATTTGGAAAATACAGAAAGGAGAGGTTAATGGGCACATCTTTTAATTCCTGAGGAAATATTCACATGCAGGGAAATGCACTCATTCAAGGTGTAAAACTAGAGTTTTAACAAATGTATTCACCATTGTACCAGCACATTCCAATCAAGACAGGGTTTCTTCCCATGAAGCCAGAAAATTCCCTTTCATCCCCATCTATTCAAACCCTTCCCCACCTCAGTAAACAACAACCTGAGTTTTCCCACCATACATATGCTTTGCTTATTCTGCAGCATCCTGATTGCCAAGATTTCACCAATAAACATGTTATTAGCTGTTGGTTGTACTGAGTTACCTGTTATTAAATTGAAGAAGTTCCTTTCTGGTCCTAGATACTAAGCAATTTTATCACAACAGTGTGTTGAATTTTGTCATATGTTGTTTTCTTTTCTGCATCTGTTGATATAGTTACAGTGTTTTTCTATTTTATTTTGTTAATGTGGTGGATTACACTGATAGGTTTTAATTTTGCTTCTATTCATTTTTGAATGGTAAACCAGCCTGCACCCCTGGGATCACTTGGTCATAATCTGTTCCTCATTTTTATATTTTGCTGATTTGATTTGTGAATATTTTGATCAGGATTTCTGCATCAGTGTTCTTGAGTGATATTATTTAGAAATACTGTTTTCTTAGAATGACATTTCAATAAGTTTTATCAGAGTTATATTATCCTCATAAAATGAATTCAAAGGTTCCCTACTCCTTTGTTTTCTCGAAGAGCTTGTATAAGATGAATTATTTTTCTTCCTTAAATGTTTATTACAATTTACCAGTAACTTCTGTCTGTGAGAAGGCTATGTAATTACTAATTCAACTACACCATCTTTAGTTGTATTAGCTTTTGCTTTGTGTGTTTTGGAGCTGCATTTTTAGGTTTATACACATTTAGGATTGTTATGTCTTTCTGACTCTTTCATTATTAAAGATTGTCCTCCTTTATTGTTGGTAACATTGCTGTTCTTGAATTATACTTTACTGATATTAATATAGCCGCATCAGCTTATTTAAGAATACTCTGCATGATGTCCTTTTTTCTACCCTTTTACTTTCAATTTGTTTGTGTTCTTATATAAGCATTATATAAGAACATCCTTTATAATTATAAACATCCTTTAATTTGGAATCGCTTTTCTGTCCAGTTTGAACCATCTCTAAATGGAATGTTTAATCCGTTTATATCTAATATAATTATTGCCATGGTGGATTTACTTCTACCATTTTGATATTTGTTTCCTGTTTCTTTTTATTTCTCTGTTTCCTTTTAGATTAAACTTCTCTTTAAGATTCATATTTTCCCTGATTTGATTTTTAGCTATACTTCATTGTATTTATTTCTGTGGTTGCGTCAGACATTATAGCTGCATTCTTAACTTATAATTTATGTAAAGTTAACCTTGTTCTATTATATATAACATGCAGGATTCTTACAGCAATAAGTCCGTGTAGCCTTCTTCCACACCTTGTACTGCTGTTGTCATGTATTTTGTTTCTATGCACATTATAAGCCACATGATGCAGTGTCAAAATTTTTCTTTTAAAATAGTTGATTTTAAATAGAAATTTTATATATATATATATATATATATATATATATATATATGTGTGTGTGTGTGTTATATTTTACATTATCCACATATTTACCATTTAGTGTACATGCTTTGTTGTAGATCAGTTTCAAATTGCATCATATCCTTAGGGCCTGAAGAACTTTCTATAGCATTTCTTGTAGCACAGATCTGCTGGCCACAAAGTATCTTAGGTTTTCTTTATCTGAAAATGTCATTCACACAGTTTTCTTTTAATAGCTTTTCTCAATATAGAATTCTAAATCTTTATTCTGTTTTTCCTTTAGACATTTTAAAGATATAATTTCATTTTCATCTGGATTCTGTTGTTTGTGATAAAAAGTTGGTCATCATTTGTATGTTCTATCATTTCTAATCATTTGTTTAGACAATTCAGCAAACTATACATTAGGTTATTTTAAGTTTCAGTTTCAGAATTACTACTTTTTATAGTCTATATTTCTCTACTGAAATTTTCTATCTGTTCATTCATTATGTCAACTTTTTCCTTTACAGCTTTGAATATACATTTATAACATATATAATATATTATCATGTTATGTTTTATTTATGCTATAGTATTAAAACAGGCTGACTCATTTGTTGCTCTGCAGCTTTGTTTTATTCTTCCTTAGGGCTCAGCTGTTTTAGTTTTTCCTTAGCCTTAGGGCATAGCCTGTATTCTAGTTTGTGGTTCTTACTCATGAGGTCTGAACTTTAAGCTCTCCACTGAATGCTCGCTGAAGTGTATCCACTGTATATGAGCCAGCACTGTGCAACATAAAGCTTTTAGACTGCACGTGCCACCCTCTCCCATGACATGTGCAGTCTTTTCCTCTGCATCAGCTGCTCACCCTTTTGGCAAGGTCCTGCAGGAAATCCTCATGCAGACATCTGGGACCCCCTACTCATTGAATCTTTTTTTTTTTCTGGTCCCATTCCCACAGATTCTAGCTATTTGAGCAGGCCCCTATTGAAATCTCTGCATCCTCCATTCTATGAGACTGCTGTCACCTGCCTGGGATAAAGTGCCCCCAGCAGAGATTTGGGGCAAAGGTGGCACTCACCTTGTGACTTTCCCTTCTCTCCAGGATCGTGTCCAGTTGTCAGAGGTCTAAAACAATTAGACCATATATTTAGTCCAGTTTTATAGCTTTTGTATGCAAAAAAGTAACCCTGTTACCAGTTACTTCATCATGAACACTAGAGGAAAAACTGAACAGTAGAGGAAAATCATTTTGAAATTAAAAAAATATATATTTTAAAATCGGATCATGTCAGCCAATTCCCTATGATGTAAAATTGTTCATCAGCACAACTAAACTTGATGTATTTTGTTTTTATAACTTAAATTCTACTTTTGCGGCCAGAATGGCTAATATATTGAATTTCAAACCTAGATATCATGTAGCAATTAGAGATTTTTCATTTTCCACGTGGACTGGAGCGTCTCAGGGCATTTTCAATGATAAAATGTGTTTTATAATGAACTCCTACTGAAAATTTTATTAAAATGTGTCTATTTTTGTTAGGTTGAAGTGTAAAGACCAATCTTTTTTTTTTCTTTTTTTTTCTTTTTTTTTTTTTTTAGCTGAGCCATCCTGCTACCTGTTGGCAGCTCAGCGACTGCTCAGCTCGGGCTGGACTCGAACCGCTGTTGCTCAGAGCTCAAACTCTTGAGCGAGCTCTTCCAATCATTTTTCTGATGAGAGAATGTAAAAGCATAAATAAGAAGCAAATTACCCAGTTCCTAGGCCAGCACCTGTCACATAAGAACCACTTAATAAAAATTTGCTGAGCAGGGTCATAGATGAATGGTTGATACTTTAGAAAGGGATGAACGTCTTTTAAGTCCCATATGCTATTTCATTTGAGAAGTTAATATGTGGTACAAATGCACCCATCTGTTGGATAAATGGTGTACATCTGGCATATATGTATGTGTGACTGCATGCTTGTGCATAAATTCACACACATATATGACCATGGCTTTATATCCTATTATAACATCATTTGTAATTACATTTTCAATTTGTATTTTTGGAGAGTCTAATACAGATAGTTTGAGAAAATGAATCTGGTGGCAATCTATTCACAATATTGAAATGCCACAATAAATTTACAGCCACAGTCCTTTAAAAATGTTGGTTATATTTGGGGTCTTAGGTTGTGATGTTAAGCTTAACCAAGTCAGTATTACTAAAGTGGGTCTTTGTAAAGATAGCTCTTAAATTATGGGATAGAATAGCAAGTAAGAGTCCTTACTGAAGATAGTATCCCTTAGCTGCAAAGATAAAAGCAAGAGTGAACTCTCTCCATGGGCTTCAACTTTTTCCTTCCTAAGGATTAGTTATTGCAATCATTGTGTCTTTATCAAGTGCCTATTCTGCTCCTTCAACATTGCTTGGTGGCCTGACCCTGCAGTCCAAATATTACTTTGAAATTCGATCACCTTTGTGTCCTGGGTACAGTTGTTACATGAGGAGCTGCCCCACACCCAGCATGTCTTACATTCCAAATCTCTGGCTCTAGAACCCTGATTTAAAAGGGTCTTTGTTCCAAGAGGACCCTGAAGTTTCATTAAGAATATGATGACTTACACCTATCATGCTTACTTTAATACAATCACGGTGCATTATGTCCAGAAGTTAGGAACTCAAGTCAAAGTATGAGATTAAAAGGGAGAGGGAGTAATTCATTTTGGTTGTTCAGTTGTGGTTTAATTTTCATTTTATTATCTAATTCTGTGAGGTATTAGAAATTTTTTTTCCAGGATAGAGCGTCACATCTTATCTAACGGCAGACCCTTACATCCATAGGGTATCCAGGTCTCAAATGCTTTCCGATATGTTGAGAAACAGTCACACGCATTATATGATGTTTCCAGAATCTTCTAACTATGATTTATGTCTGCCTGGGGGACTGGCTGGGGATTGAGCAGGTTTCGGGATGAGGCCGAAATGCACGAGTGGCACAGGCAGGGCACAGACTCAGTGAGTCACCTGCCTTAGTGGTGAGCTGCCTATCGACAGAATCCCGTGTTTGAGAGCTTTATGCTTAGGAAAGGCAAAAACTGTTGCCTTTAGTAGTATTTTTTATTTGTATTTATTTACTCTACAAAATGTTCCAAAAAACTGCAATGTGAGAATGTTCTGAAATTGCCCGGAATGGTCGAGTCCAGATCTAATATTTTCACATGATACGGTAGCCCTCTTAAGTCGTCTAAGACAGTTTTACCCGTCATTCACTGGTCATGATTAATTTCATTTTACACTAAAAATGCTCCTGCTCATTCTGTCCAAAGCTTCCACAGGAATAGGTCAACTCACTCAGAAAGCATTTACTGAAAGCTAGCCGGGTCCCGAGCACTGAGGGCAAATACATAAAAATAATTGAACGTTTTTAACACCGTTTGTTTACTTTGTGTGTCTTGGATAAACTTTGAATCAGCCCGGTGAATTAGTGCCACCAGCCCCCTCAGGTCACAGCCATGGACAAGCTGGCCTCTGCCTGTGCAGGAACCTCCTCACGCCCCTCAAGGGAGAAAGAAACGTGCACTGGCTTGGTGCCGATTAGGTGCCAGGCCCTGAGGTGGACCCTTTACCTGCAGCCACTTCATCTAGCCCCCAGGACCTCAAGGGCACAGAACCACTGGGTCCTACCTGCCCAGACCTGCCCTGACCAATCCATATTTGAGGTGCCTACCTTCGCGGAAGCCCAGCCTCTCCTGGACCACCATGTCCATCCCCTGGCTGACCTAAACACAGGAGCAGCTGCCACTTTCACATTCACCCATTCATTCATTCATTCATTCATTCATTCAATCATTACTCCATTCCTCCATGCATGCATTTGTTTATGTTCACATTCAGCCTCCTGAACCTGGAGGTCTCCATGCCCCACTATCCAGTCAGCTTCCATGAGCCACCACTCAGGTGCAGGAATGCCTACCCCACATTGCTCTCCAGACTTGGGTTCTGATCTGCCATATTGCCACCCACACAGCGAGCTGCTGAGTGAGTCAGCAGGCTCTGGTTTCCAGGGAACTTTATTTATATCCTGGTATGCGACCATGTTGTCCCCCCTGTAGGCAAAACGAGCTTTCCAGTTGTTTCTTTGGAGAGTGACAGACACTCAGGCCCTGATTTTATGGGTCCTTGAGGTCTTCGTAAGGCCCTGATCTCTAAATGTCATTCTGGCCAAGAATAGAGCCTCCACCACTGCACGACAATTATTTTCTCGAGGGCCTGTCAGAAGGAAAGCAGCCCAAGGTTCTCAGCAATGCTCTTCCCAAGAGCCGTTGTAGGAGCCTCGTTGTTGGCTCCATGCTGACACAGACATGAGCCAGGAAAGCACTGACCACCGCACGACACACTTACCTCAGTAGCATTTAATGATCCTGGAGGACTCACAAGAAGATGAAATTTAACGCTAGGGCGATTGCAACCATAGGAGGTCATTATGAATACCTCAAAATAAAAGCAATTGGTATCCAGATTTTGGATACCCAATGGGATACAAAATTAAAACACTGAAAGTGTACTTGTTAACAAACTAAGTTCCCAAAATCTAAGTTATCCATGACAGATACAGGCAAAAGAAATATAACGCTGTGTCTTTAACTTATACCTTAACTTCTAAATATATAATATAATGAAAATTAGGGAAGAGATTTGAGAACTAGTTTTATGATGGTAAAGTTAATATGGATTATTAAAAATAAAGCCCTTCATGAGATGACTCACATGATGTCAAAAAAACCTCCATGTGAGCACATCTGTTAACATCATTGAGACAGGGAGGGAATGAAAACACAAATGCAGTGAGAGGCCATCTTTAAAGCAGAACTGCATTAAATTTTCACTGTGTTGCATTTTCTTCGTAATATAAATAACGCAGTAGATGCAACCATTCAATTTCTTGGGAAATAATGCAACACTTCTTCAAATATCCCAAACAGTTGTGCAGGTAATTTAAGAAATGTTTTATCACATGCAGTTGACACTACCATCAGCATTCCAGAAGGTTCTGTCATGCCATAAGTCTGACTAGTTGCTCTTTACTAAGACGCTCCTTTAGACTCAAACGGGTATCAAAGTAAACAAAATGCCTCACACTTGGAGAGATTTCATAGTGTATAAATCTCAGATCTTGTCTTATTTTACTGCCAAATCATATGTGTGGGGCTTCCCTCCTTTGCACATACCTTTCTTCCTTCAATCTCCCTTCCTTTGCACAAACCTTTTATTCCTTTTGCCTTGAAAGCCATCCCCTTTCCTCCTGACAAACTCCTTGAGCTCAGGGGTTGACTCAGAAGTCACATCTTCTCTGACTCCTCCCCTGAGTTCTCCAGGCAAAGCGTTTTCTCCTTTGTACAAGCTTATCCTGAATTCTGTCCTTCCCTGGGTTGGGGCGCCTCTTCCCATGTGCACCATATGGTGATTCCCCACCAAGTGCACTCGTGTAAGACCAAGTTCGAGGGTAGGCCTGAGTCCTATTCACTATGGAGTGTCTTGCCTAGCATGGTACCTGGCATATTCCAATCCTTCATCAGAGGTTTGGGGATAGGGGGTGGGTGGGTAGATGGATGGATGGATGGATGGATGAGCCAGCTTTTGAAAATGGGGATTCAGACTTGCAGAAGATAGCAAAAGATGGGGTCAAGAATACATTGCAACGTGTTAGGTTTTATTGTTTTGTTAATTTTAATTTTCTCTATTTTTCTGCAGTGACTTGATTAAGCATATTTTACTTTTTAATTTAGAAAATAATAATTTTGGTAAATTTATGATGAATAAATACAAATAAAGTGTCAGAGACGGCATTAAGTTGAACTGTCTCACTCTATCATATGCGTCTGCTGCTAAGTACATGTTAGCTTTTCATTTACATGAGTTGTTTCCTCTTAAATGTTTCAGCGATGATTTATCATAGATGCATGGGCCATTTGTAATACTAATGATCCCTTTTCCCTTCAGGATATCTGCAAAGCCCTGTGGTGCCACCGGATTGGAAGGAAATGTGAGACGAAGTTTATGCCGGCAGCAGAAGGAACTGCCTGCGGGCATGACATGGTGAGATGCTAACCTCAGGCACGTGCATCACACCCAGGTGTCGGCCTCTCAACCCCTGCATCCATCCTCCTCTGGCATTGGTATTTTTAGCCCGGTCTTTCTCGTGTATCTGCACAGACCTACACTCATGTCAAAAGACTGTGACTATATTGATACTGTGAAAAGGGCTCCTTTCTCTCACTTTTCCGATTATTTCATTGGTGAGCTATCTAGAATTAATAGACATTGATGTCAGGCAAAGGTGACAGCTGAATCTGTTTAATAAGTGGAAAGACTAAACCCTTGGCCACCATTTAACCATGTACAGAACCAGCACTAAGCAGTGCTATTAAAGCCCCAGAGCATCGATCCAAAGACGCTGGAGTAGACTGATCTTCCTGGTCCGTGAAAAAGAGAGAAAGCTGTGGCAGGGAAGGAGAGGTACATCAGGCAGCAAGTGGGTTACTAGCCGGTAAAAATAAATGATCTTAACCCTCAAGAGTCATATTTTAATCCTTTTTATTTAACCTGTGATTACATTGCTTTTTTTTTCTTCAGATTATAAAGTATTACTGATAAACATAGAAATATGTTGGACCCAAAATATTAGGAACCATTTTTGCTCTATATATCTGACCATTTTACTGATATTAATGAAAATGAAAGAGAAATACATGTCTAAATATTACTGATCTATGTTTCAATTCCAAAGTAAATACATCACTCCTAAGTAAATGTGAGCATAGACAAAAAGGACTAAAAATGTTAATAAGCATCCAATGTATGCTTTTAGGTTAAATTATTGCAGTGCTGACTGAGGAAATGAAGAGAAATAGGTAAGCTTACCTGAGAATAGTATCTAGCAGCCCTTCATTCTACATGTTAATATGCTTTATTTTCAGTCTCTCACAGGGGGTGAGATTGATATTTAAATCCTACTAGTGATATGGCAGCAGTCGTTAAATCAGCCCATAAAAACAACAACAAATATAATAAAAATGCTTTCAGTCCCTTGAAAGAAAAGGCTATGCTGAGGTACCACAGTGTGAAAACACCAGTTGTCACAGGACACCAGGGAGCTTACCTGAGTATTAAGCTGAAGACAATCATGAGTTTTCTGATCATAATTGATTAAAATGTATTCTTCAGGTGATAGTTTGCAAAATGATGCCTATTTCTTGAAAGCTTGGCAGCCGTCCATTTTGCCCTTTTCAGAGGCATTTTGCCCTTTTGTAACTGTTCAGACATGGGTGGCTCGTGGGCACCCTGCTGTCTTCATGGTCAGAAGCTGTTGTGTCCCGAGGGCTGCCTCCTGCTCGTCTCCTTGAGCCCATTGAGGCCATGTCAGGAGGCCATGTCACAGAGCTGAGAGACACAGGACTGGGGGACTTCCTTCTGTCACCCGGGAGGAGGGCAGGTGGTGATGAAAGACAGACTTTCTTTTTTTTTTTTTGCTTATAGAAAAGAATCAAAGAATTGAATAGATGAGGCTAGAGTCCTCATAATCACTTATGTCTTTAAATTCAATGTTTCTTCCTTAAATCATATTAAATTGAACCATTTGAAATTGCCACTTCTGTGTGCCAAGACTGGTCAAACATCAACCATTTGATATATTTGAGTCCAATACATCCATTAATAATTGAAGTATTCTTATTTTTCTTTTATAAAAGCGGCACTTGTTTTTTCTCAGAACACGTCAGGTGGCTCTATCTTGGTCCACCCCTCGCCCGAGCCCACAGTCGAGGCTCTGCTGATCCACATGGGCCAGTGACAAGGGACAAGCGACTCACTTCCCTCCTCTCAGCAGATGGCCTGGTCTTTATTTAGGAGCCTCACAATCTACAGCAACCATAATGGAAAAGCCAACCCCACTGAACATAGTGTGAGGTCTAGTGCAGCCATTCCGTGGGGTGGAAGTGAAGAAACCACGTGATGTTGGCGTGAACTCACACGGAGGAGCACCTCCCCTGAGAAGGGGAGCGATAGCATCTCCAGCCCTGTTGGGACAGATGCTCTCTGTGTGGGTCGTTGCATCTCTTTGGAAAGCCATGTGACCTCTGACATGCAGCCATTACAACCCCAGCCCCAGCCCAGGTGCGTTGGAGCGAAAGCACAGCCCATGGCACAAATGACAAGGTGTTGAGTCACATGGAACCCCCAGCTGGACTTTTGCACCTGAGACTAGTCTGTGCCGAACATGAAATGTGAAAAGCATATTGTTTTCAGGAGAGGTTAGCGTCCACTCACTCTAGAGCTGAACACTTGGGCTGAACAACGGAGCAACAGTTCTTAATTAAATGTGTTCCAGCAGCTCAGGAATTAGAAATGATTGTTCTATTTATCTTCCCTTTACATGGAATGATGCTAGGTTTGGAAAGACAAAAGAAGCATCATTAAACATATCTGTATGCTATGCTACTAGAGAGTAGGGATATTTATGTCTGCATATTTTACCAAACTCTCTATGACTGGACACTGCAATAGTGATGACCACTTTTCTGTGCCTGAGTCATACCAACATCTTTTCTTTTTCTTTTTTTTAAATTTTTAGTGGTGCCGTGGAGGGCAGTGTGTGAAATACGGTGACGAAGGCCCCAAGCCCACCCATGGCCATTGGTCAGACTGGTCTCCCTGGTCACCGTGCTCCAGGACGTGTGGAGGAGGGGTGTCCCACAGAGACCGCCTCTGCACTAATCCCAAGTAAGCGCGTCTCCGCTTCCCTCCTCCCAAGTGGGCAGATGACACCCATCTAGCCTTCCAGACGAGTCCTGCACCTAAACTCGGTCACACTCATTCAGTGCTTCCCATATGATTGTAGGCAACGCTAAGCAGGAAAGCCATTTCTCATAAGCATTTCTTAAACAATGGTATCTGTTTGATATAATTTAAGATGCTTATACCTACCTGGCTATAGCAAGAAATAACAAACCCAACAGTGATATTCCAGAATTGGATGCTGACTGTATTTACTTGAAATGCCAAGATTCAGAAAGAAAGACAGAGAGAGAGAGAGAGGGAGAGAGAGAGAGAGAGAGAGAGAGAGAGAGACTAAAAGAGAAAGGAAGGAAGGAAGGAAGGAAGGAAGGAAGGAANCCTGGCTATAGCAAGAAATAACAAACCCAACAGTGATATTCCAGAATTGGATGCTGACTGTATTTACTTGAAATGCCAAGATTCAGAAAGAAAGAGGGAGAGAGAGGGAGAGAGGGAGAGAGGGAGAGAGGGAGAGAGGGAGAGAGGAAGGAAGGAAGGAAGGAAGGAAGGAAGGAAGGAAGGAAGGAAGGGGGAAAGGATCGAGGACATAAATGAATAAGAATCAATAAAAGCAATTCTGTCATGTGGACAAACCAAAATTTTGGTTTTTCATCAAATACCTTTACCTGTACAAGTGTTTTCCTTGTAGCTTCCTGTGAGAAGACTCTGGGAGTGCTAAAAACAGTTCCTGGTGCCGTGGCGCGAATGGATTCTAAATCTTTCTTCTACTCCTAGATTTGTTTAATGTATAAGTCATGCTGCCATTTGTTTAGTCCTGTATTTAACCTGTGGGAGCCAGTAGATTCCCTGAATTACCAGAATGCTCTCTCCTGGGGTGTCCACATGAATTTTAGGGGGTGAGCATGGGACATTTGCTGTCACTGCCAACCAGTGGAGGTGACTGGTTCTTCTGACCCGTCTGGTATCCTGGCCTTGTCACAGGAAGCTGGTAATGGAAAGAAGCAAAGTAATCGAATTTCCTTCTCAGCTAAGCTGTCTATCCACTATACAATTCTGGGAGACCCACCACCCCGCATGAGCCAAACCCCCTTTATGGAATTCTGAGATCAGTGACGCTTACTCTGTCTTCTGCAGGGGGATGCTGGGAGGCGGCCATGAACAAATGCACAGAAACCCACTTTCCACATCCCAACCACTCCTACCAGTGTTGTAAATAATACACTCAATAGAAAAGGAAACCACTGCCCATGTCATGAATATGTAAGGAAGTTCCAGTGTCCACTTAGAAACGCACATTTCTCATTTGGTCCCTCTAAGTAATTTAACATTATCCGCCCCATATCTTCAATAAGCCTCATGGTAAGGAAAGGGTGATGCGCTGTTAAAATAGAAGGTTTCTAACAGCAAAATATACATTCCAGACCGTCGCATGGAGGGAAGTTTTGTGAGGGCTCCGCTCGCACTCTGAAGCTTTGCAACAGGCAGAAATGTGCCCATGATAGTGTCGACTTCCGCGCCCTGCAGTGTGCGGAATACAATAGCAAGCGGTTCCGAGGGTGGCACTACAAGTGGAAGCCTTACACTCAAGTGGAAGGTAAATCCCAAACCCCACTTTCTAGCGATAGCCTCGTACTTTATTATCTTTCCTCTAAACAGTTACGTGACCGATGGTTTGTTCAGGTAGACCAGATACCGCAATATGAGGTCCATGTCATAGATACTTCCTGGGGAGTTGGTTTAATACTGCCTGCACCACGGCCACTGGCATCTTATTTTGACCAGTTGTGTGGTCAGAAATTAGCAAGCCAGATAGAGAACATGGACATAATACCTTGAAATCTTCAAAGAAGTGATAAAAAATTCAAAGTACATGTTTTTATTAATAATGGATCAATGTTTATTTTTTAATTACAAATCACAGTAGTTGATGGTGATATTGCTATAATCATCATCACCCATTGAACACTTAAAATTGCCAAAGAATGAAAGAAAAACTTTGGTATCTTCTGGAAAAATCAGATCATTTTTAAGTATACGATATTAGAAGATCTTGACGTCAAACTATAAACCCAGACTTTTATTTGTACCATATGTAAAATTTTATTTTCCAGTTAGAGATAAATATATATTATTCTTATGATTGTAGTAACTTGAACTTGGTAGCTGAAGTGGCAAAATTTAACAATAAATTCAAAGAACACCTAATCATCTCTATTGTTTGAAACTGGGAATATTGTCCAAGCAACATTAGGGATATACATAAATTGGACTTTCTCATCTGCCATGTACTTTCACTATCCCAATATATATTTTATTTTCATGATGAGAGGTCTATAGAATTAGTAAATTCTGAGAGAAAATTGTAATCAGTTTTATACAGAGCATTTTGGGTTGTGCTTTAGCTCTTAATCTCAGTAAAAATTGAGAATTAAATAAGCAGGAGAAAAAAATAGAAAGAACTTCAAAATTGGGGTAAAAAATATGTGTGCTATGCCTGACTTTGCTAGTCTTCAGTAAATAAATTCATTAATTATGGAAGCACATGCTAAGTTTGATTCTTAGAATTATTCAGTTGGGTCTCTTATCTTGCACAATAAAGAAAACACTTGTAGATGAGTCTTGGATCTGTGAAAGCTCCTAAGGCAGAGAAAAATTTTATCAGTTGTCCCCTTCTTACAAAGAAGAGGAAAAAAGGGGGGAAAGAAGTTTCCTACATAAGTCCATATTAACTGGATGAATCACAAACCCTCAAAATGTATTATCGAGAGAGGAAGTGAACTTTATCTGCTAATTTTAAGCTTATAATGATACCCATGTTCTCTGTGTATCTGTGTTTTTTGACAACCCTTTATATTTGTAGAAAATATTGTTCTCTGGAGATTTCATCTAATTAAAAGTGATTTCTTTTATCAATTTAAAAATGTTATGTATTTCTTTAACTGTATTTGCTAGTAAAAATTTAGTAATTATTTTAATTATTGTATTATCTTTAATTTGTAAGAATTTTGCATATTGTAATAAAATGGTAGTGATTTTGCATTTCTACAAGATAATAATTATACTAGTAGAATAGTGAACAATCATGCTATAGTTTAAGTCAACAAATGTTTATTGAATGCCTACTATGTGCCAACAACAGTGTAAAGAGTAAAGGCCAGTAAAGGACAGAGGAGAGTAAAAATTAATAGTGAAGCTGAAAAACTAATAACTTAAAGGGGAAAAACACAGACTTAATGAAGCAACCATACAGAAATGTCTTTGCACTGTATTATTGTGTGGGAGTTATTTTATGGGCAAGAAAGAAAAAAAAGTCTATAACATTTAGAGTAAAAATGATCAGAGCTTAAGTATCTTTCTTATTTGTGTTTGTGTGTGTATTTTTTTTTAAGATCAGGACTTATGCAAACTCTACTGTATCGCAGAAGGATTTGATTTCTTCTTTTCTTTGTCAAATAAAGTCAAAGATGGGACTCCATGCTCGGAGGATAGCCGTAATGTTTGTATAGATGGGATATGTGAGGTAATAATGATCGTTCATTCATTCGCCAAACGTCTCCAGACAGTCCACTTTGTGCCAGGCACCCTGTAAGGGGCTAGAGGGACCAGACATTTAAAACAAGCCCTTTCCCTCCATGTCACAGCCCAGTGGGGGGAAGCCAGGGGAACACATACTGAGACACACCGTGGTTTGTTGCAACGGAGGTGTGTACAGAGCATGGGGGGAAGGGAAGAGCTGATTCTCTCTGAGATGTGGATCTGGGATATTTGCAGGGCTTCTTGGAGAAGGGAGCTTCTGAGCTAGATCTGAAAGGGTGAGCTGGAAGAGGGGTGTCGAGGAGACAGCGGAACAGAGTGGTGTAAGAAAGCATGGTTTTGTAGGAACCGATTCAGTCTTCAGAGTACCCGAAAGGCAGGCAGGAGCTGGGGGTTGCTGAGGGACGTGAATTGGGCCATCTCCTGCCTGGATGAGGAGTTTGCATCCTGTATCCCTGTAGATAGAACAGGCACTGAGATTGGGAGCACGAGGAGTGGCAGCGTCAGACAGCAGTAGCTGGGAGGTGGCATGAAGAGTAGAGAAAGGCAGGGACAGCTCAGAGCTCAGAGGCCACTTTGCTGCCATTATAGGGGTCTCTGAAAGGTCTGCAGCCTCAGCTTTTCTTGGAGGTCTAAGTGACGGCTGGGGAAGACTTAGTGGCTAAGGGAGCATAATGCTTAGAACTCGTCACCATGTGCTGAAATAAGATGTGGAAAGACTCTCATTATAAACAAAGTGAAGGTGTGACCAGATCAAACACACCACATGTAACTAATGGGTTTTCAGTGCAATTACTCATTATTCTTTTTCACTGGAGTCCAAAAGCCTCGGTCCTACTTCGTGTTTTCTCTAAATTGTATGACCGTGGAACCAGTGGGCCCGTCCACTGAGACCCTCAGTGTAATCCTTTTCAATGCATAAAGCTTAGGCTGGATGATTCTTTTAAGATCTCTGTCAGCTTTAAAATGCTCAACTCTCTACCCGTTTTTGTCTAATTATTAGCTGATTTATTAAATGTTTCATTACTTTCAGCTATTCTTGATGATACAGTGTTGCAATCTTTTATTTGTAATACTGAAATCCAAAAAGCTATGAAATGGGAAGTTGGCTTAGCTGCAAAATATAAGCTGACCTGAATTTGTTCAGTGGCAAAAACAAACAAACAAAAAACTGACCTGAACTGATAAGAGACTATTTGTCAGTTTTATTTTCCCTGTTAGTGTAAAGAGGTAGGCATTTTGTTATAGAAACATCATTTCTATCTTAGACCCAGCTGGGGCTTTCACATTATATGTATAATATGTTCATTAGCTCCCTAAAATCCAAAAATCTCTGAAATGCATCTGGCCCCAAGGATTAGAAGACAGGAGTTGTGGACTAAAGTTTTTTCATTTCTGAATAGTTCTTTTTTTATTTGTTTGTTTTTGGTTTGGGTTTTTTTTTTTACATCTATAGAGTATACTTTTTGAGAGGAAATGTAAAACTAGGCAGCATTGTAGAAATTCTAAGGAGCTCCTAAAATTCTAAGACAGTGACCACATAAGCGCTTTACATAATTTACTGCCGGGAATAGTTTCCACGTGGTGTGTGTTATTTCTGTGCCTTTGAACAAGGGGATTCAAAAGACCATGGCATATTCCAGTGGCCCCTCTTGAGGACACATTGCTTGTCATTTGTACTAACTGCTTTACATCACTCCAAAACTGACCCACGTCTCCAACATGACAACCTGATAGATTTAACTGAGGGCTCAGGATAGGACAGCCATGTAGCTATACTGGAGAGTTCAGGTTATGTCTGACATTCGAAGGTTTCCTACTCTGGCTCTGAAGAGTAGAACTGCAGTCTTGCTGTGCACATACTGGGTATCCAATAAAGATTTGTTAACTCCCCTGTGAGATTGTCAACTGTAGGGGAGGAGGTTTCCTGCTTGAGGTTTGTGATTTGGCTCTATTGTCTTTTGTTTCATGAATGACATGTGACCTCATGGGTCCTCCAGAGAGTTGGGTGTGACAATATACTTGGGTCCGATGCCGTTGAAGACTCTTGTGGCGTGTGCAAGGGGAACAACTCAGACTGCATGACACACAAAGGCCTCTATGCCAAGGACCACCGCACCAACCGTGAGTACTGGGTAGCGTCTGCAGGGGCTGAGCGAAGAGGAACAAAAAGGGACCAGCTCGGTGGGAAGGACTTGGCCTGTGATGAAAACAGCAGGTGTTAACAGGCCCCACAAGTCTGACACCTGCCTCTTTTCCTGCCTGCTTCTGCAGCCTTTTGTTTGGATTGGCAATGGTTGCTAGGTTATTTGAATTAGAATGTGTAGTGAAAATTACAAATGCTCTTCTCCAATTTTTTTTTAAAAAAGAAGTCATTTATAGTACATCATTGCCAAAACAGATCTCCTCTGTGAAACGTAGATTCTGCCTTTTGTGGAGGTGGGGAACAGAGATGCTGAGGAGTTGGCCTTAGCGTTACTGAATGAAATGCTCCCTTCTCCCCCATCCGTGTGCTGTAATCTAGAGTATTATCACATGGTCACCATTCCTGCTGGAGCCAGGAGTATTCGCATCTATGAAACGAACGTATCTACCTCCTACATCGCTGTACGCAATGCCCTCAAAACGTACTACCTGAACGGACACTGGACCGTGGACTGGCCCGGACGCTACAAGTTCTCAGGCACTGCCTTCGACTACCGGCGGTCCTCCAGGGAGCCGGAGAGCTTGACCTCCGTGGGGCCAACCAACGAGACGCTGGTCGTGGAGGTACCTCCAGCTTCGTGGTTTCTGGGGCTTCTGGCGTTTCTGTAGGTTCAAGGCTATGGGTGTAATTGTACGTATGCAGAAGGACGTTTACAATTAGATGATGTATCAGAAACAAGACTGATCATACATGGGCTGAACGGGGCAGTGGACTTGTTCTCATCGTCTTTCGTTTCTCCGTGCATGGCTGAGTTTGTGCTACGCACACCCTGCAGTTCCCACGCCAGGGTCTGTACCAGTCAGTGTTCACAAGTGCCCGCCTCACTCCTGTGAGCTGTATGGCGGTGAGAGGCAGCCACGAGGGGCCCTGTCTCATCCACCAAGTCTTGGAAAACAGGAGCAAGATGAGAAGCAGATCCAGCCCCGAAGCCCCAGCTGAGCCCTCACACCAGCCCCAGGGCCCAGCAGGGGCGCCTGACCTTCTGTCACCAGCTCCTGCGGCACAGCCAGGCAGCGTAACTGGTCCCCGTGGGCAGCTGGCAGCAGCAGGCGATGGGCGTGCTAACTCCCCACCTTTCCATTAAAGAAAAGTACTTGGCTCGAAAGCTGCCCATAGGCCCACAGCTCGGCGTGCAGACGTGGCCCACCCAGATGCCCCACCTGCTCGCTGAGCCTGGCAGCTGCCGCACTGCCACATGTCCCACCACCATCTCCCCTCCTGACCCTGAGCTGTTTCCTTCACCCTGTTAGAAACGTACTCAGCTGCATTCTTGCCTTGATTGTTTCTCTCCCGCCATCCCAGGTGTTCAGCTTTAATAGTCATGGAGAGAGGTCGGTCAGGGCTGCAAACGAGCTCACCTTCTAAGGAGCCATTCCTGTCACAGGGCTCAGGGTGTCAGGAGGGACAGCATCGCGGTGGCCTCGAAACGCAGCCACCTCTCCAGGGCTCCAGCCTGCCCTACACCGAGTGAGACCTGAGCTGTGTGGTCAGGGAGTCAGGAGAGGACCTGTGCCTTTATCCACAGGAACAGCACAGCAAGGACCAATAAAGGCCCCAGGGCTCAGACAGGGGACACCTGTCAGCAGGCTACTGGTGAGGTTTCCCAAAAAAAAAAAAAAAAAAGAAAAAAAAAGAAAAGAAAAGAAAAGAAAAGCCTTCTCACTGAGCTGGGGGATCTGTCTGATTCATGCCTGAGGAAGGAAAGGGTAACTGGTCCATGTGATCAGGTTTCAAGCTAGGAGGTGAAGAGTCTGAATGCAATTTAATGCGCAAATCTGTGGCTCACAGAAATGCTCGGCCTGAACCACCATCTTTACTAGTAAGATATTTCTCCCCTGGAACTGCCGGGCGCATGCCATGAAGCAAAAGGCCTCTGCACCAGGCACAGTGGGAAGAACTCACTTAGCGTTGAAGGTGGCATGGGTGGCATCCCCTTCAGTGACTGCGGGATTTGGAACTCTAGGAAGTGGGAGGGTGCTTTTCAGGTATTGCTTTCTGATTGGCTCATGTGGATTTGTGGGGGATCGCAAAGAAACAGCAGCAAGGGAATTAATCAATCAATTGTGTTAGGTTACAAGGGCGCCTGAAGCCTTGTGTGGACAAAACACTAACGGTAAGGCAGACAGGTCGCACGGATGTCTGGACAGTTTCTAGATGTGCTTGAGCCTAACGTGGAGTTTATTCCTATTCAGAAAGTTCATGAAAATTTTGGAGGACCGACAGTGTTTAATCATTGTAACCAACTCTTTATTGACACGATTATCATTTCAAGTAGTTTAAATCAGTGTATATTTACTGGCTCCACTTTAATAGCCATGTTTTTCCCCTTTCTTATGTTGTAGCTTCTGTTTCAGGGAAGAAACCCGGGCGTGGAGTGGGAATACTCAGTGTCTCGGCTGGGGGCTGAGAGGCAGCCCGGAGCCCGGCCCAGCTACACGTGGGCCATCGTCCGCTCTGAGTGCTCCGAATCCTGCGGAGGGGGTAGGTCACGTGTCACGTCTCCCCTTGTGGTGGGCGCAGAGGTGCTTAGCCCCCTGTGTCTCTGAAGTGAACAACGAAAAACCAACATAATTGTTACTGTACATGCAAAGGACTGAGTGACTTTTTAGCACTGTAACTAACTGAAAAGAGGCCCACATACACATCTCGACCCAGGAATTCAATCCAGCGACTCTTCCTTAAATGTGTGAGGCATTAATAATTACACTGAGTTCTGAGACTATGAAGAAAAATGGTACATACTGGCCCTGTTTTCAAAATCATACGCAACCTAGAGAGAGGAGTTACCATACACACATACGTAACAAGTCAAGATTGTAAACTGTGTCACGTCCAAAGGTCTGTGGGAACTCGGAGAGGCCTCCAGGACTGTGACACACACAGAGTGACGGTTTAGCTGCTCCTTGGACGTTTGTCTGTCTGTCTTCGAGCTACAGAACGCAGATAGCTACGAGTAGCAACTGTGCTTTTCCATTCATATTACTCACCTAATTGGGTAAAATCTCTACATCTTTTTCACAAGAACTGCTTAGAAATAGTTCTTTGCCATTTGTTTGCTAGAATGTCCAGAATCTTAGGGTAAGTGTACATTTTCCTTCTTTTGGACTTTACCTCAAGGATCTAGCTTGTCCTGGGTCCCAGAGGTCACCTTGAAATGATTCTGGCTCTTTCTTCCTGCCTTGGGTCACCTTTCAGCTGAGTCAACAAAAACGCCCTTTGTGTCTTTACCCAAGACCCTCATCAGCTCCAGAAGGATTACCCATCCTTTTGCCCTGTGTGATGTCCAGCCCCGCCCATTTCTTCAAGCGTGCTCATTGGTCAGTGTCAAAGGAGGAACCCAGCTCTTCCCAAGGAGCAGGACTTGTGTCTTGTCCGCGGTCTCCCCAGTTCCCACAAACCTCCCGTCATTGGGGGCGTGGGGTTCAGGTGTCCGTCCTGGGCCAGCCCCTCTCACTGCCATCTCGTGGTTTTCTCCAGCTCTTCCCAGCATCCTCCTGCTGTGGGTGAGTGAGCACAAGTGGGTTTCCAGTCCTGCTGCCTGCTCCTCTAGTAAGCAAAGCCGGTGACATGCGGTGACATGAGCAGCACCTCCGTCTGCCATTTCGACAGTTCAGTGCTGTCATGGAAATGAGTCTGGCCAGTTTCCTGGTAAGCAGGTCAGATGCATGAGTATGTCACAGCCCCCCATAAATGACCATTGTCACCACCCTCCCAGCTCTGGCACCCATCAGGGTGCCATATGCTTGGGGTGGTCACGCCAGGCGAAACTGTCACTTCAGCACAGTGTGGGATCTTAGAACCTGAGCAGCTCCAGGAGCTCCCCCATCTGGTTGCCCGGAGTCATCTTCCCACTTCCTATTTCAGGGTTCAGCAGCGCTGACGCACCGTACACCCATAACAAGCCTGGCGCTCCTGGTAGAAATGGCACAGGTTTCTCGTGGGACCGCATGCATCGGTTTATGGAATATTTTCCAGTTTTCCATCTAGTTTTGCTTAAATGACTGGTTTCTTATTCTTTATACAAGCAGGATAATGCCTTGGGCAGCAGCTGGGATTCATTCTGTAGCTAGAGTTATTGAAAACGGAGATTCTTTGATACAATCCTCATCTTTAAGAATGAATACTCCTCTTCCCCATACTTTGGCAAAATGCGGAGATCTTTAAAACGATTTCCAAAGAACTTGCCAGAGCTGGTTTCCATAAAAAGATAAAGGTAGGGCCCGGTCACATTGATCATGACGCTCACCACCTCCCATGGCAGGATTCCGCTCTGGGCTTACCCTTTAAAGGGTGTTCTTCCCGCCTTTCTTCCTTTAGCCTTTGAACTGTATACTCTTGTCTCTTATCTAGTAATATGGATCATTTTAGAAAATTGGCCAGCTTGATTCTGGCATCCTCACAGACTATGTGATATTTCTTTCTGACAAATAGTCAAGTGATTGTAAGCAGTGCTGAGAAGTTGCTTCGCAGATGTGACCTTCATGTCTAAACATTCAGCTGAATGGCTGAGCAGATCCCATTCCACCACAGGAAACTCATCTGAACACACAGTTTCTACCACCTCTTGTAAAAACACAGCCTACAAACCCTGAGTACCACTGGACAGATGGCTCTGCATATATATATATATATATACATATATATATATATATATATATATATATATATATAAAATTTTCTCATAATAGTCAGATATTTGAAAACCGGTAAAGGAAGAAACATTTAAATTCACTTCTATGTCCACTATTGTTTATGTGGGCTGGAAAATGAATGTTAAATTGAAATCTCAAGCATCCTTGCCACCTACAGTCAGACTCAACCTCCAAATTCATGCACCGTGCACTGCCCAACATTTAGACACCTGACCGTTCCAAGTGGGTAAAGCACAGTGTCCGGTGTCACCAGACTACATCCTCTTGAAAACTCATATCTTTTGGAAAAATGCTGTGACTTGATCGGAGACCCAAAGTCAGGCGTGTTTCACAGCATCCCTGTGTTAATAGGGGGAGTACCCCACCCGGGTCCGGACACGCTCAGCTGCTGAGGGTGCTCACCTGGGGTGGGGGGCACTGATGTGGCGTCGCCTGCCTTTGCTTCCTGAGGGCTGCTGAGGGCCCCTTTGGTTAGGAGAAGGTGTGGTGGAGCCTCGTCATCTCAGTTTTATTAGTCTAGGATTTGGGCATCCCTGGTCCATCCCGGAAGCACCTGGCCTGTAAGGTTTTACTCACCTGTTTGTGTCCCTGAGTTCAGCTAGCCCCTGAAGCCTGAGGACCCTGGCCTGTGGGGCTTGTGGTGCCTCACCCACAAGAACGCCTACCACAGACCCCTCACCCCACCTGGGTTTTTCTCCTTTATTCCCGAGCTGACCCATAAGCTTCGCCTGGTTCCCTGCTTTGGGCCCCGGGAGGCCCCTTCTCTTCTTGCCACTTAAGAGAAGTGACTTTCTAGGGACTGTCACTTCCTCCATTGACTTGCCTTATTCCTTTTGACAAAGCAGAGCCAAAATGTCAAACTTGTCTCCAATATACATTTCAGAGATTTTTTTCTTAAGTAAAGAAGGGTTTGGTTTCCCATGAAAACGAACATTAGAGTTTGCTGTGCTGGCTCGGCTCCTCTGAAACCATTTCTTCGGGCTTCTCTTTTTTTTCTTTATAAGCAAACGCAGGATCTGCTTGGCAGGGGTCACGCTGAGAGCAGGACTTCATTCTGACCCCTACCTGGGCTTGGGCTACAGGGGACAGAGAGCACATGGGCCACACACACAGCACGACTCCATCAGTTTTTCAAATAGTGATATAGTTATTTTAGATATAAATATATTTTAATTCTGTTAATTTTAAATCAATACTAGTTGATTTATTATTTTATTAATTTTATTAATAATTTTATTAATTTTTTGTCTCCATTGAATGAACTATTTAATAACATCCTTCAAAATGAATATCTAATTAGAATCCCTTTTTTATTGCAGTAAAATACACATGATGTAAAAGTCACTATTTTAACCACTTTTAAGGGCACAGTTCAGGGGCACTAAACACATATGCAACCATCACCACTGCCATCTCCAGGTATTTTTCACCTTCTCAAACTGAAACTCTGTCCCCCATCCCCAGCCCCTGGCACCCATCATTCTACTTTTTGTCTCTATGAACCTGACTATTCTAGGAGTCTCATATGAGTAAATTTTGGTAAATGTAATGAATGGAAATATTGAACAAAATTAGAGATGTTCCCAGAGCCCTAAATAGCGCTGGAGATGTAAACAGAGGCTGTGAATCAAACCAACTTTCATCTTAATTGACTTCATTCCACACAACACCTGAGTCATTTTCTCAAGTTCACCAATCAGTTTGCAACACTGGCAATATTGAGATCTGTGAATTCTCCAGTGATAAGCTGCTCACTGTTACTTTTTGTCTGTATTTCTTTCTGTCTTATTATCCATTTCCTAGTGTGACCTCTCAAATGGACACACAAGTCAGCCATATTTAGTGTGGGGTTTCTTTTCAGAAATGGCTGGTGTCCCAACTAGAGAAACGATAGAAAAGAACAAGTATGTTTCATTAGCGGTATGTTGGCATTGAGTGAAAGACCCACGTTGATTTGAAAGGTGTTAAAATATAGGGGGCAAATATGTGCATCTTAGAACTGATGGAATTCCCTAATAAAAACATGAAGACAGGCCAAAAACGTACAATATCAATAGTTGTCCAATTGGCCATTAACAGGAAAACATGGAAGTGCTGTCAAGGTTTCCTAAATGAGACTTCAATGGCTCCTCACCTGCCTTTTACCATGGGGCACATCTGTCTTATCATATGTCTCACCCTTCACACAGGACAGATGACCACAAGAGAGGCCTGCTACCGAGACCTGAGGTTTCACGTGAATGCGTCCTTCTGTGACCCCAACACCCGGCCCGTCACAGGGGTGGTGCCTTGCAGAGTGTCTGCCTGTCCTCCCAGGTAAGAACCGCCATGCACTTCGGGTCAGTTTGCAGACACACTCGGTGTGTCCATGGAGCGCTTGTGTTTAGGGAATACAGGTGCTGCTACGTTTGCAGAGTCCCTAGCAGTAAAGATACAGAAGTCACAAGAGCTTCCTGAACAAGTGGGCTTTAAAAAGCATGTTTGGGGGGGAAAGAGTGTGGAGAACCTTGTGAATGTGAATGGAAGTTCTTATAATAGCATCCTGTTTGATTTATTTTTACTTTACTCGGTGCAGGCTGGCAGGGTGATAACATGCTGTGGTGATAGTAACGTCTATCTCCCAGCCTCCTGTCTGCTTCCTGCTGTTTACTTTTCTTACTGAATAAAACCCATTAGACAGCGGTTCTCAACCTGTGGGGTGCGACCCCTTTGGGGGTCGAAAGACCCTTTCACAGGGGTCGCCTAAGACCGTTGGAAAACAAAAAGATATTTACATTACGATTCATAACAGTAGCAAAATTACAGTTATAGAGTGGCAATGAAAATAATTTATGGTTGGGGTCACCACCACATGAGGAACTGTATTAAGGGGTTCGCAGCGTTAGGAAGGTTGAGAACCGCTGCTCTAGAAGAACCCACACACGGGGGAGTGTGGGTGGCTGCCACACACTGCTTGCGTTCACACACGTGAGAAGGGCTGCAGAAGCCAGGGCTCCGTCCTCCCATCATCTGCCATCTGTGCTGCTGCCTCTAGATATTTTTAAATAAAGCTCAGGTTGCCTGAGATGGTGGCCTGGGCAGGACCGGAGGAGACAGCCATGGTCCTGCCCTGCTCCCATCGGTTGTCACACCTTGGGCATATCCTTAGTCACTGCCTCTTATTTTCTTCATCTTTATGGGGGAGGGGGATATGTCACATGGGGGTTGTGAAGATCACCTGAGTAACATATTTATGGAATGAAAGTCTAACTCCAATGAGAGCCTCAGACAGCCAAGGCTCTGAATACAAGACAACCTCATATGTCTTGGTTTTACAGACTAGGAGCAGCTGGCCAGTGGATCCCAGCTCTGCTGAACTGTGCCTCACATTGTAAAGCAGATGGGACACGGTGAAACACAGGAGTGTGGCAGGCATTGCCTGCCTTCTGAGCTGTGTCATCTCTGACCACTTGCTCAGGATAGAGCCGAGGCCACGTGGCAGCACTTGAGGGCCTGAGACCTTCCCTCCCACCACAGTGAGGGAGGGGCCTCGCTGGGAAGGTCCCGTCCTCCCAGCCGCCTGCCCCTCTCAGAGCCCCAGTCACTGCCCTGCCTCAGTCAGGGCTCCTCAGCCAGCAAGCCCCACATCCTGCTATTGAGAGGGATTTGGTCAAAGCTGACACAAGGACTCTGTGCTTGAGGCCCGTCACCCACTGAGGATGTGGGCGTCCACCTGGGAGGTTCCTATTGTACAGGTGGAACCAATATCCCACGCCTCTCCATGGAGCAGACTTAGTCGGCCCAGTTATGACGATGGACTGGGGGCATGGGGTGCACACTGGGTAGACAGCACCCAGTTCACGGTTGGGCTGTGCAGCCACCAACCTGGGTGCAAACCCGACTTTGTCTGCCCGCCTTGTATGTAATCAGGGTGAAATAGGGGGATGATGTGTTGGGGGAATGCCTGTCAAAGCTCTCAGCCCATGTGCTAAAGGCTCAATCAATCTTAGCTGTTCTAATTTCGCTGTGAAAGGAAAAGCAAACGCACACCGGTTACTTATCCAGTCTGTGAAGCAAAGCTGCCGATGACGAAACGAAGCAGAATGAGCCCACATTACATGCATTAATCCTTGTGGATTTCTGTTTTAACAAATGAGTTGCGAAAGTAGATCTTAATTTTTAAAACTGCTCTGTGTTCCTCTGAGATGTAACATACGTTTCTCTTGCCCAGAACACTGACAGTTTTTGGTTCCTGATTAAGTGGGCAGAAAGCCCCACTTTTACTTTTCTGACAATGAGAGCGTGTCTTTCTTGTTAGAGTCTGTCTCACACGAGGTGTCGGGGTCCGTCCAAGCCCCAGCATCCTGTGGTGTCACTGCAGCGGCAACGGCACTAAGTGACTGCACTAGCTCATCCTCCCGCGTCCTGCCCTGGCTGACTGCATGGCGAGGTTCAGGGGGTGCAGCTTGGTGTTTCATGTGTGATTTGTGGGAGGGTCCCAGAAGGATTGGGGAGTGCAATCTCTAAAACATGTTCATTCACAGCCTTCTCATTTTAACTTAAATGGAAAAGAAAGACTGTTATGCTGGTTCGAACCCCTGACCTCCCCCGACAGCGTCCAAATGCATGCCTGGGCAGTGTCAGAGCTGGAGTGCTGTCAAGCCACTGGGTCATTAGCAGGATGAGGCCCTGCAGGTCGTAAATCTCCACCTGGGACAGAGTGCTGGCAGCCTAGGGAGTCTCCTTGCTGGAGGCAGATGATCTTAAAACATGTCTGCTTGGCTCCAGCCAGCAGGAGCGACGTGGCGGAGTGAGTGACAACTTCTGCAATCCCCAGCTGCTCCTCAGGCCTGAGTGCAGTCCGAGGCACACAGTCCCCCGGGCTCTGCCCTCGTCCAGGAAGGCTGGCTCTGCACTGACCTGGGGACAGGTGAGCAGCACTCAGGCCTCCCATGTCTCAGCACTCCTCAGTCTTCGTTTTAGCATGAATCAGGCATTTTTATCACTTGCTTTTGAAACACAAACTATAAATCACACAGATGTGTGTTTCCTTTCTGTTTCTCAGTTTACCTAACTGGAGTGGCTCTTCATGTCGTTTATCTTAACCAGCTAGTGTTCACAGTGTAAACACAGAGTATGTGTGCCTTCCTGGACAATGGACTAAAGATACCAGAGGAAATACCTTCCAGATGGTAAAAGGACACTTTCCCCTCTCCGCTGTATTGTCCTAAGACTGCGGAGTGAGAGTTTAGAGGAAACCAATTGTGATCAAGCACCTTGCTTGCTCGTCTTTGGAATCTGTACAAATACAGCCCCTCTCTGTATCTACCTGCCCGTGACCTCCGGATGGTCCTATGTGCTTTGGTGACTCCTTATGAAGCCGTTAGCAGAATGATCTCTTTTATAGCCCAGATATCTAGGTCAGTGACTAGCGTCATTTGGTTGCACACCGCAGAAATGACAGATACGATTCAGCAGGATAGTTTTATTGCTAATGTTCTCCTTATAGTTCCATTTATAGCGACAGGAAAGGGACAGCTGTTTTTCTGTGTGTCTTAGTTCCTTTCGCTATCAGCCATGACACTGCTGACCACCCGTAGTGTTACCAGAGGAATGCAAAGGACCCTCATCCCTTAGGTAGCACCTGGGTATGAAAGGGACTGACTCACGAGAATGCCCAAGAGTAAGCATTTCAATGCATTTAGTCCTCTGAGTCACTGAGAATAAAATAGAAACAGGACCGGCTACCTGGGCTCAGATAGTCCCCTGAGATAGCCCAGTCACCTGGTCCCCACTTGGTTTAATGTTCTGCTGTCATCACCTAGAAATGTCTAATGATTTTCATTTTGCGCTGGGTTCCACAAATGAAACAGCTGGTCCTGCCTAGCGCCCCACCCCCCACCCCCACCCCGGGTCTATTTCAACATTGTTTTTTGCGATATCTGGGAATTGTATTAGGATGTTTCTTTTTTTAGTGAATCAGTTCTCCATTACTCTCGAGGAAGGAATGCTCTTCTCCAGCAACTTCGTGGCACGGCTCTGTGCGTGACACCACAGTGGTGATGCAAGGATAAAGGCTACGTGGTGCCATTCCCTTCTTTTCTTTTCTCTAATGGGATGAGTGCCATTTTGCCAAACTAAAGGACACTCGCAGATGAGCAAAGTCGCCATGAAAAGGGCTTTACAGAATCTGTGCAGATGTCTCGTTCTTCTGGAGAGCGCCCGCTGTGCCAGGGAACCTGACCTGTCTCACACCCACCGGCACCGCCGCCCTGCGTTCTCAGATGTCGTGTGCTCCTGCCCTCTGTCCCCGTTGGAAAGGCATCTAACCTTCTCTATTTAATCAGGGAAACCCGAAGCATTGCAGCGTCTCTGCTAGTGACACCCTTTTGGAGAGATGTTCAGCTAAAGTGTGACATTCAGGCATGAGGATCATGACTTGAAACTAATCACCGAGGTGTGACACTATCTTGGCATGAAAGATGGTGTCTTACTGTGTCTCCCCAGCAGAGACGTCACTTAATACCGAAACAATGAGTTTAAAATGTACTCAAGCTATAATGACATTTGTTAGGATACATCCCTAGGGAAAGTCCAGTTGCAAACGTGAACAGAATTAGTCACACACAACACTGCCTATCTCCTCAGCCACTGAAACTGTCAAGTAGAAACCACTGCAGAAGCAATAGGGATATAAAACTTAGCTAGCTTTCTGGAGGGAGATTTGTCATTGCACACCTAAAAACCTGCCTTAGGTAGTTCTGGAAAATATTTTGTACTTTCGGTATTTTTTTGTCTGCCTGTTTGTTTTTGGCTTATTCGTTTGGGGGCATGTGTATGTGTGGGTATGTTTGTTGTTTTATATTTATGTATTTATATGTTTATTTATGTATGTATGTATTTATCCCTATGAGCAAAGGCAGAAAGATACCTTGGGAATGCTACTGATTTTCAGAGACCTTATCTTGTTATGTAGGTTAAATAATACCTAAATTTTTCATAAGTTTCATTGTCCTGTTCTCCAGGCCTCAGCGTGATTGGCTCTAAAATTCACCAGCCCCTCCCCGCCCCACGCTCACTATAACCATCCTCTAATAATACACAGTATGGCATATGCTTCAAATATTTTGGAATGAAAATGAAAAACAAACCTATAGATAGATAGATAGATAGATAGATAGATAGATAAATGGATAGATAATAGATAGATAGATAGATAGATAGATAGATAGATAGATAGATAGATAGATATGGATAGAAATGAAAAGAAAAAAAGAAAGAAAAAAAATAGATTTTACCACAAATCTATACCTAAATCCACATATCCACAGCAAGTA